CTATCATTCTATCAAGAAGAAATTGTCAACAACTCTTTGCAGCTTTGGTGTTTTCTTATTAGATCATTGTCATGGTTCTTGGTAATGAATTTGGTTCAAGATCATGGTATCAAATCTGAGGATCTCAGCCATAAATCTATAGTCAGGGATTTTGGATCGAGATCAATAGTTTTCTATCTTACCCATGGACTTTTAGTTATTATTTTGGTCATAGATTTTGACAATGATCTTGATGAAATTGTCAACAACTTTTTGTAGCTTCGGTGTTTTGTTATTAGAGATTTTATTATATGACAAATATTGGTCATAGATCATTGTCATGGCTCTTGGAATTGGCTCATGGCTCTTGGTAATGAATTTGGTTCAAGATCATGGTATCAAATTGACTTTTAGTTATTATTTTGGTCATAGATTTTGACAACGATCTTGATCTACCAAGAAGAATTGTTTAGACTAGACCAATCCTCTTTGTTGTACAAGCAAATATAACAGATTTATTAGAACTATACAATCACTTAAATATGGTGGAACTTCTATCGAGGAAACTCCACAATTAGGGACCAGTCATTTCAACGTATCATATCGGAATTTCTAGTAGGAAATGTAGGAGTAATTCTCCACGTTTCGGCTGTCGCTGATTGCGAAATGCCCGGCAGAATTCTAACGTTCGTTAAATTGCCTGTGGGAAATCCGCGAAATAAGGGCGTCTGGTCTATTAGCATGCAACGTCTAGAAAGAGGATTTATATTCCGGCCGTTCCGGCTCGACTCGAACTCGCCGGATAGACATTTGTTTCAATTTCGAACGGGGCGTTTATCATACGTTTGCTTCCTCGCTGGATTTTTCTTCTATTACGCCGGCGGTTTCGAAAACTCGGCGGTTTTTCGGATAGAGATACGCGAAATGGGGGTGTATTAGTCGGTGGAGAAAAAGTATTATTAGATTACAAAGCGTAATTTACAAATTTCGGGTGAATATTTCAGAGCTTACCAGTAAATAAACTCCCTGAAATCTACTTTGTTTTGTTGTTCGCTCAGGAATTTTTGTGGAATTTACATATCCCCGTGACCGACGCGACTTCCAATTTCCAAAAAAAAAGATTAATTTAGAAGATTTCGAGCTCCAACCGGAGGAGGAATACAACCCACGATTCGTTTATACGTTTCCAATTTCCTTATTTAAATAAACCTTTCGGATATCGCCCGAGTATCGAGGATATTTTTTAGTGCCGTAAATAAATTCCTCCGGCTTTTGATTCGCCGCCAGTAGCGCGGAATTACAGAATTTATATATTATTCATAAGGCCTCCTCGTCGACAATCAGAAGGTACTTCGAGGCAAACATTCGATACGTGACACTTCTTTGCACTCGTAACTTTTCTATTTACTCTTTTCTGGAGGATCAAAAACGATGTAAATAAAGCTGTAAATGTCTGGCGAAAGTCGCGAATACATATGAGATTCCTTCCTTTAAATACTAAAATAGAAAATTTTGTTAAAGTTTTTTTTTATAAAGGAAGATTCAAGTAATTAGAAAAAACCGATAGGTACTTTTACTTTGAATTTTTTTGTCAAAAAAATCGTCTAAAACAAATCTCTGCTGTAGTTTCGCATAAATTAGTATATTTTTAACATCGTTCACCTTCGCATCCAACTTCCATTAAGAGTTTTAAGTGAATTAATTCACTCTGTGTAGAGAGAATCGAGGAAAGTGGAAACAAACAATGAGTTTTCGTAGCAAACATGCAACAGAGAGTACATCAAAGCGAATCGAAGCGATCCGGCATCGCCGGAAGAAAAATAAATACCAGCGATGTTTGCGCGACAGCAACAATTAATCGGGTAAAAAAGAGGCGAACAAATTCCTCTCGGAATTTCATCGAATTTTCTCTCCTCTCCGATAAGATGATGTAATTAATAAACGCGTATTAGGTCTATTTTTCGCCGGCGTAGAGAAGGCCCATTTGTCATTCTTATGAACGGTATCGCGAAGCGCCACCGACGGGATATCTTCCTCGAATTCCGGATTGTTTATAAATAACAACGAACAGAACACAAGACGCTCAATTAGCGTTTTATTAAGCGCATCGTTTAGTCGTTGATAGGACAGTTCACCGTGAAATATCGCCCGGATCAACGTTTATTTATGCCCCCCGGGAGCCGGAGGAATTTCGCCGGCGAATCGCTGGAAGATAAAAGTAATCTCCAAGACGGAATTTGGATTAATTATTTTTTAATTTAATTCCGCGGAATATCGCTACAAATGGCGACTTTAATTTTGAATTAGGCGAGGGGAATAGTGACCTACATTAAAAATTACGCGTTAGGGAAGTACAAAAACATGTCGCACGTCGAAATTTTGAACAGTTGTTAGAGGGGTTTGGAAATTATAGAAAAACACCCTTTTCGACCTTCGTTGAAAAATCAACATCAACATCGAGGGAACAGATAATGAGTGATATATGGAAAAGAAACGCCGTTCATTAATAAAGAGGGGGGCCGGATTTCCCGCGCGATTTACGGCCATATTTGTCCCGATAAAACTCATTTAATTAGGGCAATAAATAAAACGTATGCATTCGGCTCGGGAATTGCGGTCGGGAAGAATAGGAGAGCGCCGCCCCGACGTCGGGGGGGGCACCGCTCTAAATCACCCCGGCATAGTTGTAGTTTGTGATGCTCGAGGGGTTTTCCATAAATTTAATATGAAATTTCGGGGAGCCGACCGAGCTCTAACCGGCACGTTTCCGCCTCGCATTTCGCTGTATACAACGCGAATTAGCGGAGGGGCTCGATTTGGGTTTATTATAAAAGGTAAATATATTTCAAGGGTTGAGTAGAAAGTACTGTTTTCGAACGCTGATAAGTCTGTTAAAAAATTTGTTTATCTACCCCCCTTTGGGTGCCCCGGTTTTAGCTCAAAGGATCGGTGTATTTGACACGATTTAAACCACCATTAATTATACAGGGTGACTCGTGAGGAATCGTACATACTTTAACAGTGTATAGAGGCACTTATGGTGAATATCAAACGACCATTAAAAGTTCCATTGGCCTCTTCTCTAAAGAGATACAGGGTAATTTATGAATTTTGACGAAATTATGAGGGATATTTTGAGCTGATTCGTACAGAAATTTGTAAAAGTTTGTAAATGGAGCTTCAATAAACACTACGTTGTAATGAAAAATGAAAAATTTCTTCCAAAGTGAGAATATTAACTGCATAAGAACCAATTCTTTTTGACCTACACAGAGAGTGTTGAATTCTGCATATCTATACTGATGTAATTCTTACTCAATAATCTCCCTATATACAACATATAGCCCCTTGCATTGTTCTTGTATAGTTACTTCAGCGTGAAGGAGTATATAAGCTGTAGTATTAAATCGAGCTTTTGTGAAGCACTCGCGAATCCACCGGTCTGTGTCCGTGCGAATGTGCACGGGCTATTTTGCAACAAAACCGCCGATTTCTACCCGATTGACGACCAAAACCGGAATTTTCGTGCCGTCGCGTTCGCAAAGGATTCGCTGGGGCACCGAAACGGCTTCGTTCGAATCGCCGATATGAGAAAATCAACTTAATCAGATCCGCTTCGACCGTCCAGGATTGTAATTGGGGATGGAACCGCCGGAAACGAACGGGAATCGGTCCGGTTGTAACTTGTAAAAGCCGATTCCTCCAGGCCTGGGAACTTTGCGCTGGATCGATCCGAATATAAGTGTATAGATCGGAGTTTTGTTATTTTTTTTATACAAATTCAATTGGTTTGTTTGGTGACGAATTGGTTAATACAAAGGCGAGGTTACAGGAAGAGGAATTGACTATGAATATGAATATTAATAATAGTCCATTCACTGAACTTACTCGGGTTTCGGATAGATAATTTACAGTGAATTGCAAGGCTGATACCTCCAAATTTTGCATGTTTCTTGGTAAATAATCCTTTTAATTTACGCCTTTTAATCCGAAACTTCAGTGAATAGACTACACAAATTTCTAAAGTGCTCGTATAAACTCAAATAAATGAAAATATTCATAAAAATTGCTTAAGTACAAAACCCTGTTCCTCATTTTAATACACCCCCATCACAGTCCATGCAGAGTTTAAATTACACTAACAAATAAAGGCCAATGATGGGATCCCAACGAGGGGGTGAATCCCATTGAACCGTCATTAGAACGAACCGAATTCCATCGAGAAGTTTGAGCATAACGGATAAAGAAAAAAACTACAAGCATTCGCATGTTCGGGGCGCTCGTAGAATTAAATCCAGTCGAGTTAAATTGCCCCAAAATGAGGGTTCGTTCGACATTGCCGAGTGTGCAAGGTATATATGGCGTGAGAGCGGCGCTCCCCTCTAAATATCACTTCTAACTGAAATATTAAAAGTAGGTAGGCAGTAAGACGCACAATCTCCTCCTAACTACGTTGTAAGTGTAGCAATTCACTCCGTCGACGTTTATACCTAATAACTTTTGAGTTACGACATAATATTATCACGCGAATGGGGGCTCTTAATTCGAGTATAACTCCTGCAGCGCGAGGCGTTTTGTATACGGAGTTGAAGAGTTTGAGAAAGGATACGGGATGAATTCATAATGGGTTTTTCGGGATGTTTTCCGTGGAAATGTTTGCCGAGTTTTCGGTGCTAATAAGACCGTAAAGGAGATTAATTTTATGTAAACCGGCGTTGTCAACCTTTGAAGTTTTATTTTTTCTTATACAGTACAGAGGTTTCCGCGTAAGAACCGACAATAGAGCAGGTGAGCCCAAAATATGTCGTTTCTTATGCGGGACACACTGTATATTTATATAAAAAAAATCCATTATGAACAACTAATTTCATGAGCATTTTCTCTCTACTTTTATGCACAAAATTTTCTCTCTACTTTTATTCGCAAAATTAATTTAATGAGATTAATATGCTATTTAAGGGTACCTTTCGAAGGGACATTCGGGGACCATTTTAGATTAAAAAAAAAACAACCAACCCAAAAAATATTTACAAGTTTAATAAAACCATAAATACTTAAATTACATTGAATAGTATAAAAAAGATTTCACTTAGATAAAGCCGACAAGATGTCTTTTTTAATAACAGAAAAGTCTTTGCCACTTTCGATCTCCCTATAAATAAAAAACAAGTTTTTTATTCCAAAGGAATCGTTTTGCATTCGCCTACTTGCCTCTTCATAAATTCCCCTATCGTGTCTTTCGTACTTTTCGGAATGTAATTTTTGCTCACGATCGCTTTAAGAACGTTCAGGCAACCATCGAGGTTCCAAGTCGGTTTGAATTTTTTATCTTCGCTCTAAAATATAATATTATTAAATCTTCACCAGACAATTAACACCGATCTTTTACCTTAATCAATCCTAGGTTAACGAGAAGAGTGTTGTTAACGATGGATATTTTATTGGCTTCCTGAGCCCAATTGAACAAATCTTTGTACAATTTATCAGCGCACTCCATCGATGAATCGGCTACTTCTTTATTAAAATTGGTACTGAGAGCAGAAACTTTCATTACTATTCTAGTGTACTCGTCAATAGAAGCTTCCATGGTATTCTATAAGAAATCAGAATTAGATTTGTACAGTTCAAATTTGAAGGAATCCTTTTAGGAGTACAAATACAATACCTTCGCTTCTTTTAGAATAACTTCCGTTCTATTAGGCCCTAAAGCTAAAAAGTTACTAGAACTAGGAACTTCCAGGAATTCTTTAACAGTAAATTGTAATTTCATGGGCGAAGGTATCGAGATTACTTCTTGTTCATCTTCTGATCCCTCGTTATCACTTCCATGTTCTTCCGTATCTTCTCCTTCATCTTCTCCTTCTTCTTCGGATTCCTCTTCAGACTCGTTATCATCTAAACTACCCAACACATTGAATTTTCCTATATCTTTCAGCTTCTCCTGAATCATATCTTTCCCCTCTTCGCCAAACTGATTCCCGTCGAGTATCAACTTCTTCAATTTGCTTTTATTCGCCATCGCTTCCACCACGCGCAAGGCGCCCTCTTTCTTTATCTCGTTGAAACCGAGATTGAGCTCCTCCAAGTTCGAGTGGGCGTCCTTCAGGGCTCCGGCTAACAGCACGGCCCCCTTGGTCTTGAGCAAACAGTCTCCGAAATTGATTTCTCTCAGTTTCTGGTTGCTAGCTATAGCAGAAGCGATGGCTTCGGCTCCCTTCGGACCGATCGTGTTATCGTTGAGATTGAGGATTTGCAAGTTTTTGTTGACTGTAAACGCATCGGACAAGGCCGATATACCCGGATGGTAGATTCCGTTTTGTGGCATGGCTATTTCTTCTAAAGTGCCGATCATCTGGAAATATACACGTTAATACTTAATGCGTTTAGTTTATTATTAACGATATACCTTAAAGACAGCAGCAAGAGCTTTTGCTCCGTCGTTTTCCAATCGATTCCTTCCGGCTATGAAAACCTTCAAGGCCAACGGTTTTCCATTTTCCTTGCTGCAATTGAAACAATCGGTCAAAGCAGATGCCAGCAATTTACCACCTGTAATACCCAAGCCGTTGTTATTCAATTTAAGCTCTTCGAGGGCGAAGCAAGAGGAGCTTCGCAGGAGCGAGGCCAGGCCTTCCACTCCGATGGGGCCGAAGGCGTTGTCGCTGAGGTCCAGCTCGGTGAGTTTGGCTCCGGCTGTTACCAGACCTTCGCCTAAATATTGCTGGAATTCAATGCGATATAAGGATTTGGGTGTTTGGAGACCAATCGATGGGTTACCAGTGCTTGGGGGATTTCCGTTTTCAGCCTGCCCGTGAATATGTCTTTCCATAAGGCCCGCTTGAATTCCGGGTGCTTTTCCAACGATCTGGCGATTTCTTTGCAAGCGTCCACTCCTAGAGTGTTGCCCTCGAGGTTTAGGAATTGTAGATTTGTGCAGTTGTCGACTTCTTTCGTGACTTGCTTGGCTGAAATGGATGTAGGTGAAACGATTTTGTTTACCATGTGCATGTTTCTAACCTACCGTCATTTTCGGTGTCTAATTTTAACGATTTTCCTGTAAAGGAAACTCCGCTACCACTAACAGACGCGCCTTCTAATGCGGATACGAGAGAATCTACATTTGCGGAATCCATTTTTTTTTATTTTAGAATTGATTGTGCGAAAAATCGAACGCCGACAATCTGTAAATGTAAATATTCGATATAGGAATTATCGTTATTTTCAAAAAAACATGCATGTAAGTTTTCTTGTATTCGAAAATCGACTTTATTTACAACGACATAACGGTCACACTTGACAACCAAGGAATTATTGACAACTGACAGTAGTGACAGATTCTGACAGTCAATTGTCAGATTCAAAAATCTTCTTTTATTAAAAATCATTATTATAATAAGAAAAGATATTATTTTAATGTAAATCACAGTTTTCATTTCTTTACCTAAAAATATTATCATAGTAGAAAAAAAACCATTTCATAATTTCGAGTTTGTTCAAATTTTACCTGAATAGCAGCTTTAGAACTGTCCACCCTTGAAAAAAAAAGAAGAATCAAACTTGTCATAACCTCACCAAAACAATCTCAAAAAGTTAACGGTCTTCGAATTTTTTTAGATAAAGTTTATAAGAAATGTTTAACGATGAGGAATATTTTTGAAGACATCTTTACCATTTTTAGCCTTTTAAAAACGTTTCTCTACTATGGTTTATATTACAGTATTACAGTGGGAAAGTTTTTAGCCCAATTTCTTAATACCCTTATCACAATTGGGCTCCTGCTCGTCAAGAATGTAAAAGAGATATGTGTGATAATCTTCGAAGGACTTAAATACTTCTGTGAAGATATTTTTGAATGTACTCAATCCCTGATATTGTTCGTGGGCCAAATAAGTGACGGAACATTGACCGTACTATCAGCAGTGTTTTTGAACATTTATGTAGTTTTTCAAGTTATAAAAAATTCCATTTGTGAAATATTCAACCACTTACAAAACTCCGTGTTAAATTTAGGTGCTTGTGTTCTAACAATATGTAAATTCTGTAAACATGTAATCGTACTATTCGGATCGGGAGTGTGGTTTTTAGTCACACTACTGCCATATTCCTTGTATGATCTTCTCATTTTAATTTTTTATATATTGAATGCCATTCCCAAATTTCTAGTGGATCTTGTACGAAACATTGGGAGCTGCATCAAAGACTGTGTTATTGAAATTTATAAATTTGTGACTGACATTGCAATCGAATCTGTGATTGGTTTACTAATAGGAATATGTTTTATTTACTTACTGACTCAATTTTATCTAACGATATATTCATTTTTATACTGCAAAATTAGGATTATAGTAAGAAATATATTTAATCGATACCAAAGACCCAGAAGGAATGACTATGTGATAAATAGGTTAAAAACCGTTCTACGGTACTTATTAAATAGGTTCCGGAGATTACTCCAAAGAGAAAGAAATTTCAACAGAAGCTTTCTTAATGTGCCAACAACCAGCAGAAGACCGATAAGTCCCAAGGACCAAGTTAAGGACTCGATCGATGAAAGATTCTGCGTTATTTGCCAGGACCGCATCAAATGCGTTTTAATCCTACCCTGCAGACATCTCTGTTTGTGCGCTGAATGCCACAGGAGGTTGCTCTTTTACAACAACAATTGCCCGATTTGTAGAAACCACATCGAGCGCACTATGGAAATATTCGTGTAATTTTTTATTTTATCTGTTACAAACTTTTGTATTAATATAAATATTGTTTGCGAGACATCGTGTATATTCTCCTGGTTGGCTTTCTTACGCTTTTATTTATTGTCTTTAATGTTATTGATATTAGATATTTCCCGTACGTTAACCTTATCCTGCCAATAGTTGATAGTGAAATATTAATCTACTACATATCAGGAGTTATGTTACACAGTTGTTTATTCCTTTTTAGGAAAAATAATTTCATTCGTATCTCGAATCAATACAATAACAAAGTTGTTGCTGCGCAGAACTTGCTTGCATATTAATTGGATTAGTCAGTGTTGCCCATTGAGGAAATATTCTTGGATTATACTGAAATTTTTATACACATAGGTACAATTACAAAACGTTGATATTCGATAATCAAGTGTACAAAAAATGCTTTCAAAATAAAGCAACTAAATGTCAAATGAAAGAAACACAACAACAATTAAATACTCAATTATTAACAGATTAAAAAATAAATTATTAAAGCTGATACATTACATAATTAAATATTAACGCGCACTTTCTGCATTGACGCCTTTCCTTCCCACAAGCAGGAAAAGCGAGGCGAATTACAGGAAAACATCGTATCATTTTAAGCGATTATTTCACTATTATTTTTCGTGTGCGCGTTCATTTTTCTAAAAATACTTTTTACCATAACGATTTGGCAACAGTCCGTAAATAGCCGATGTTTGAATCATTTTAGCCGCTCTTTAAATCTGTTAATCTGTTGCTTTAACAAGAGTTTCGGATTCGGTTGGGAACTCGAGGGTTCCGATTGTAGATAAGAGTGCGAGCGCGTGTTGAATATTTTTAGGATGTTCGACGATATTAAAAGAAAGGTAAAATCTCTTTTATTGAGTTAATGCAATGTTTATTTATGTATTGTTAATTTAAAGATTTTAAATCCTTCTATAAAGGTCTACAGAATTATTGTGTTAAGATAAAATACCCAAGGCTCATTGTTCAAGAAATGATAAGACAATAATTGTTTTTATTTTTTCAATATGTTTTATATATTTTTTATTATTTCGTTTTTACATCGGTAAAATCTGTCTTTGTGGGAGAGAAAATACAAGTGTTAAGCACGGTTGCTTTGAACCAGATGGGCGCAAAATTTATTCGAATTTATTTATATTAGATTTTACAGGGTGATTCTAAAACCCTAATTTGATTATAAAAATTCCTAAATACCTCCAATTATATTTTAGGAATCGAAATTTGAAGGTAGATAAATCATCGTTGAAGAGAGCCAAATTCGACCCGCTCGACTAACATTTAAATTAATTATATTATAAATAAAGTCCTTTTTATTTATAGCTGAGGTGTTCTAAATAGTTTTCGATTGCCGCATCAATATCGTTACAGCTAATTAACAAATAATCCGCTCGAGAATCGTCCAACTTTCGAATATACATGTGTATATTAAATTAGTTATTGTTCTTTTTTATTTTCACGAGCGTACGAAAATATTGTCGCTTAGATAAAACGGGGAATGTAAACGCTAGAATTACAATTGAGATCGAAAATAGATAATTTTTGGAAAATTAATGCTTTTTTCAGTTCGAATCCGATGGCTTCGCCGTCATCGAAGGCCTCTTTACGCCCGAAGAGGTCGAAGAAATGAAAAACGAAGCGAAAAATCTCATAAAACTCATGCCAGGCGAGTCTAAACGCACCGTTTTCAGCGCCACGAATCCTGATACCCAACAGGTACCCAACTTACTTAAAAAAAACCCAAAAATTTGAATGCAAATAACCCCCCGAATTTCAGAACAAAGACAATTACTTCCTCGACAGCGGCGACAAGATAGCCTATTTCTACGAATCGGGCGCGGTGGGGGCCAACGGGGAGCTGCTGGTGGAGCCCGAGCTGTCTTTGAACAAGATCGGGCACGCGCTGCACGAGCTCAACCCTGTCTTCAGGAAGTACACCTTCTCGGAGAGGATCAAAGAGGCCGCCTTCCAGCTGGGCTTCGAGGAACCCGTCATACCACAGAGCATGTACATATTCAAAAATCCCAAAATAGGCGGCGAAGGTAACTTTTTTCCAATCGCAATACTTTCGGGTAAATGTTGTATACAGGGTGTCCTGCATAGTTAAGAACCGATTCAGAACATGAGCGTAAAAAAACTCCAATTCGAAGACCGATATCTTCTCGAGAATGTAACTTTGTATTAAGTTGGGTTGAACATATTTTGGACTACCCTATATGCCTATCCTGTGTCGGTTCTTATGCGGGACACCCTGTATATTGACTATAAAATTGTTTTTCTTTTAGAAAACGAATTAATAGAAATAAATAGAAAAGTAACGAACGGTAAGATTCGAAGACAATAGTTGTAATAACATAATTGTGCATTTTTGCTTAAAATAAAGCTACTCCACTTCGAAACCTTTTAAACTAAAACATTGGCGTTTTGAGCATTGATAATATTCGCTTATATTTCTGCATTAATTCTACCTCGAATTACTCCCAATTTATTCGGAAATGAACTGTTTATATTATTTTTAGTAACGGCTCACCAGGACGCGACTTACCTTTACACAGAGCCGATGAAATTGGTGGGTTTCTGGATAGCTTTGGACGATGCTACTGTGGAAAACGGCTGCCTGTGGTTCGCCAGGAAATCCCACAACAGCGGCGTGCATAGGAGATACGTTAGAAATCCGGATAAAAATTCGGAAGAATTGCTAATTCACACCTCCGGGGCTCCCTATTATCCTAAAAGCAACTTCTCCGCCGTGCCGGTACCGAAAGGTTAGTCACCAGATTAATTCGTTATCTTCCCGATTTATTGATGAATCTGGAAGGAATAATTTTGTGTGGTTTTCCCCGATTTATTGATGAATCTGGAAGGAATAATTTTGTGTGGTTTTCCCAGATTTATTGATGAATCTGGAAGGAATAATTTTGTGTGGTTTTCCATTTTCCAGGAAGTTTGGTTTTAATTCACGGTCAAGTCGTTCACTTTAGCGAAGCAAATAGATCGAGTAAATCTAGGCACGCTTACACTTTTCACATAATCGAGCAGAAAAACACCACTTATTCGAAGGATAATTGGCTGCAACCGACGAGGCCATTTTTAAATCTATATAGGAATTGAAATGTACATAAATACCTAGGAATAATGGTTGGAGTTGTTTGTATATAAAGTTGCGAAATAAAGTTCTAGTACTGTGATGAAAGGTAATTTATATGGTAAAAAGGAAGTATGTAAATTAACAACAAAAAGCTTTATTAAAAATATACACAAATTTTATTTCTAAACACATCGTTTTGACTAAAATCTTCTTTATATCAGAGTCAGTTTTATATTTTATGAAGAATAAGGTCCGCTTAAAATCTTTATTCTTGCATAAAATAGTATAAAAATTTAGAAATTAACTAAAAATAATTAACAAAAACAGACAAAAATACTTGTGTTTAAGTACTATTAATAGCAGAAAATATGCAATATTTTCTAAACCGAAGATTCTGTAATATAATCGAAATTTATTTAACTCATAAAAAATAATTTCAAACTCAACAAACTAATTAAAAATACCCTGTATGCTCCTATTGTAACTACAGCTAATAGCATTTAAACACACGATAAAATAATAAATAGGTAAAACAAATAGTACGTTAGTTTTTTAAGAGACAATCAAAATTTTAGGGCCGAATTTCACCATTTATTCATTATCGTTACACGATAAAGTTGAATGGTGAAATTAGACCATTGAATGCAATCTCATCACAGCCTGAATTAGTATTTTTTTTCTAAAGTAATTTCAGAATACTGTACATACTTTTAAAGTATAACTTATATCACATTTTAAAAACTAGAGTACAGAGTTTAAATGAATTTCGAACAATTCAAAATAAATTCAGATGAACTGCAACTGCATAAGACAAAATAGTTGGTTCATCAGATTATTCTTTTATCGCATTCGTGGTGAAAACGTAATGGAAAAATCACCACCACTTGTAAATAAAGTACTAAAAAATTAGTATAAATTCGAAATAATACAATTTACCTATTAAGCGTTCCGAGTTTGCAAATATTTCATCATCTACTCTTCCTATTCGGAGATACCTATTTGTATAAAAAAATCTAATAAATTAACAAAGATCATTGGGAATCCTCTTTGGTTATTGTTTACACAAAAGCGTTAGCTCTTTCTCATCGACTAGACTGATCTTCCTCAGCGCATCTTTTGGAACCTTGTACTTGATATCTTGAGATCCTGAAACTATAAAAAAGCTCATGTAACAATTAATACAAAGAAAAAATTTAATTACTATACAAAAAAAAGGTATACAGTTGGGTGATTCGCGGTTATTTTAAATCGATTATTAAGGATTTATAGATATTTAACTATATTCATGATACGTGGAATATTTGAGATAAAATCATGTAATTTAATCGTCAAGTAATTTGCATGTTCGTGTGCAATCGTTTGGAATCGCAAACGAGTGTAAATCGAGAACGTTTAAATAAATTCGAAATCGTTCACATTCAATCAGTTCGCTCAGCTTGCTCACCTGGAGCAGTTATACAAGATTAAAATTAAATCTAATAATTTCTATCCCAAATAAAATTAGTAAGAAATAAAAGCAACTGTGCTGGTAAGTTAGTAGTTATTTGTATAACTGTACTATAAGTTTTAAAATACTCTAATTACATAATTCTTAGTGAAAGTGGATTAAACAGTGAATGAAAGTTGTATAAAACTGAACAAAAAAGATGAATTAAAGCAGTGTAGAGGTTAATTTTAAAATTTGTAGGAAATTAATGTTATTTTCCAGGTTTGTACAGGATGAAGAGATAATAGATATAATCAAGAATATCTACCGAGAGTTATACCAAGTTATATTGGAGTTGCTGTTAGCGATGAGGTAGCAAGTTATAGCGATAATTTTAGAAGATAATGAAGGATTTTTTTTTATTTTCAATAGTTTTGAAGGATTAAAACTGATTGATATGCTCGAAATTCTAATCAATCATCCTTAAACTATCTGCAGTCATCATATTTAATCGTAATCAATAAATTCAATCCCTATTGTGTTTTATTTTAAACGATAAAAACCAGTTTATGCAATATAATCTTATGAAACATGCTAATTAGTAAGATTAAAATAAATCAATGAAAATACTCGTTTCTACAAGGAAAGTAGACTAAGTCATTAAGGTGATAATTTGACTTTATATTACTCTTACAATATTGTTCAACATAATTACATTGTGTCTTTCTAATTTCGAATTAAATAGGAGGTCTTTGTCGACTCGAAATTATCAAGTTTATTGACTACAAAAAGAGGAATTTGACTTATGTCAGTTTTAAATGCCTTAGACTAATTTATTCAACGGCAAAAAATAGTATTGTCTTTGACAGTTTCAGGAGGTATAATTATTTATAAATTAATATATGTCTTTGATTTATTTTCTGTCAAAAAGTTTTATGTTATAGAGTAAATTAGATAGTTTCATTATAGAGTAAAATTTAATCGAATTATCCACGTTTTTTACATAAATCAACGAAGTAGTTCGTAATCGGAATAGATGTCTACGAAGGAACCTACCAATATTACAAACATAAAATAAATTGTTAGAATTTAATACTTTCTACTAAAATATATTCAATAGTTTATTATTTTATACTAAAATATAGATAGCTAAAAAAGCATTCATTAATACAGCATGCAAAAAGTCTACAACCAAATACTAAGCAATTGTTCAATTAATATCAATGTATTTTTGTTCGTTAATCTTTTGATCAATAAAATTTATATTAGCAAAACCAATTAATATCTTTCTATTAAAGCTCTGTTAACCATTTTGCGGACAAACAGGGGGGTTAATTAGCCAAGCACACTCAGTTACTCGTCGTTTCCGTAACTTTTTCCGGACCAGAAACTTTACCTCTTAGTAAATATTGAACGATCACGTGGACAAAGCACAGAACGAAACAACCAATGCCGTAGATTCGGAATGTTATTGCTCCGCCATGCTTGGAGTACAATGAACCAGCTATGGAACTACCCACTGAAACACCAACCCCTTCGAAAACGGCCCCGATTAATCCCTGAAACAAAAAGAAAATAACTTAAAATTATAGCTCGACAATTTACTCGTGTATTTCATGCTTAAACAAAGAAGTAGAGTAGAATGTAGAGTAAAGAGGAGTGCAGAGTAGAGTGTAAAGTAGAAAGGAGTGTAGAGAAGAATGTAGATTAGAGATGAGTATAGAGTAGAGAGGAGTGTAAAGTGAAGTAGGGAGGTTTGTAGAGAAGAATAGATTGTAGACTAGAGATGAGTATAGAATAAAGAGGAGTGTAGAGAAAAGAGGAGTGCAGAGTATGAGTGTAGTGGAAAAATACAGGATGGTACTATAGAATAAATTTTTAAATTTACTTCAATTATACAGTTTAACTACTGCATTTATGTATTTAAATGGAAACAAATAAAAATTCAATATATGACAACCTACGTCAAAGTTTTCTTTTATAGCTTTTCAAGACGTAGGGAAGCAAAAAAAATAAAAAAATTATTACCTAAAAAGAGTTAAAACTGTGCAAATAATAAATATAAATATGTTTTGTACTGATAACAACTAGTAAATATTTGAAGGAGTATGATAGAAATGTTCATAAAAATATTATTTATTAACGCAATTAAGGCATAGCTGGTATGTAAATTGCGTTTAACAATATGAAGTTAGATATATCTAAAAATTATGCAAACTTATCTAAAACATTTTTTTGGTGTAATATGAGTGTAAAAACACATTTTTCTTACACCAAACAGTCGGAACGATTTTTTTTATATTTGCAAACTAATAAAATACTTATTTATCTAAATCTGTTTAAAATAGAGAGCAAACAATTATTTACCAGAGATTAACATTCTTGAATGCTCGTTATACAACCCAGTTAAATGTTTTAAAAATATTAATGCAATCAAATTCATGATTATAACCATATTATTCAAAGCTATACTTTGTTTATTCTTGGATTACATCCAATTTTTTCACATTTATTTTCAAAACTTGCCATTTTTTTTAATTGCCTAATATCCCTAAATATCTCAACTTACCTGCATAGTAGCCTCGGTTCCAACGGGAGCGATAATGCTAGCATAGGAAGCCATACAGGCGAAGAACAATCCAAACGAAATACCATTCAACAACTCCACCGGCAAGAAATACCAAGGATCCTTTATCACAGACAACAGACAAAACCTCACGCCGATGCCGAACAGCACCAGCGACATCGTATTCACGTGCCCCATTCTCTTGATGATCCTCCCCGATATGAAGAAAAACGGCGCCTCGCCGAATACAGTGTGCACGCCCTGGATCAAACCCTCCAACGTCTTCACGTTTTCCATGCCGGAGCACCCCCTTTGGCCCGCCAAATCCTCCACCAGCCAAAACAGGAACTGCCACACCAGCCCCGTGCACATCCCGACCGCCAAACACCACACCAGGAATATCAACACTCGGATGTTCAACAACAGACGCCCGACGTCGCGGAATATATCCGCTGTAATTCTCTTCTGATCGTACTGGAATAGAAAAGTAACGTTGCAGGAATTTCCTTCGAACACTAGAGGTATCAACTCACCTTAATTTGCGTCGAAACAGCGAAATCTAACGCGAGAATAGCAGCGGCCGTGTAAAACGCTATAGAATAATTCTTATCTGCTGCACCTTTGCTGATGAAATCGATTAAAAAACCGGTAAGGGCCGAGACGACTCCCCAACCGAAGGATCCCCACATGCGCTGGTAACCATACCTCTCCGGTTTATCACCTAAAAAGCATCGATTAATAACCACAAAAGCGATGAAATGAGGAATTTACCCAACAATTCGAAGCAAATGGCGTCTCCGATGCTGACGCAGGCTGCTTGTCCCACCCAGGCGAAGATCATGAAGATCAACAGGATCCAAAACTGGTACATCCCGGTGACTTTGTCGTCTTCGATGGCGCCCTCCGGTATGGCGGATTGGATTTGATCGTCGGCGCAATCTATATCGCACCTCGAGGAAAACGGTGCATTGTTTTTAGGACAGATTGGGTCGTAAGTGGTACCGTTCGCTAGGGTTATGTTGTGGATGCTTAAAATTACGGAGGAATCGATGAGTGTGGTTTTTCCTTTGGAAATCGTGGCTGAGAATGATAGCGAAATTGGATGGTTGTGGCAAAACTCGTCGATTTTGAAATCGTTGCAGAAGATGCCAGCTAGATCGTCGTCGACGCGGCATTTTAACTGAAAGAATAGAGTTGGTGGAAACGATAGAGGTTTTATTGAGGAGTTACCTTGCAGGAGCCGAAACCGTTCTCTTTTCGGATGTCGTCCAGCGAGCAATTTTTGATAGTTGTTGACTCTTTAAGAACGAGATTGTTGTCGTAGCATGTTAAATTCGCTTGTCTGGAAACGTCTACTTTGGGTGAAAAAAACACCCCCAAGAAAGCGGCTGCTGTTAAAAGTTGCAGGAACAAGAACAACAGTTTTTGACAATGGAATCTGTCTGCTATGGATCCCAATACAGGTTTCGCTAGCATTCCACATATCGGTATAATTGTATAAATAACTCCTACGATAATACTGGAGAATCCTAGTTGCCTGATGTATGAGGTTAAATATGGCGTGACAGGTCCAATACCTAAAAAGATTTTCTTGAAATAACTTCGATTCGATTCCCCAAGATTTTGGGAACTATTTTGCAGAATTAATGCTTGATTAAAAAAGGATGTAATGATGCAAAGAAACGGACTTTGCACATATTAAGTGAGTAATTAAATTCAATAGCCATAGTAGATATATTAATTACTGATAAATAATAATTTCAAACACTTGCAAATATTAAGCTACAGATAAAAAAATAAATGTACCTACTAAGTACGCGTATTGGAATAAATTTATGTTTAATTTGATGTTATCGGCAAAAATATTATTTGACTATAAATAGAGAGAATTTTTGACTGCGTTGTTATGTTAATAATAGAGCTGTTTTTTAGTTACATATTATATACGATTTATTGATATTTTCTAATTGATAATCGGTTTTTACCTGTAAACTTATCATTAACTACATATTTATAATTTTTTCATTTTGTTTGTTGCAAAAAACGTGCAATTATTCTCTGGATAATTTACAAAATAATAACCGAAATTGTCCGATTTATTTATAAACAAATTATACCACCCAATTGCTCATGACGTCAAATAATCAAAAGTTTATTACCATGTGGAAATGTATCTTATGATTTATGATCTTATCCTTTAATTGGTAAATACCAATATTTTTTAATTGACAACATCTGATAGTTTTTTATCAAACGAGATGCTCAAAGTTAAAAGAGATCAAGCGCATTAATCATTTAGTTTTCAGATAATCAAGGTTAATTAAAGTAGAAAATAAAATAAAATATGGGCTTTTTCTACATGGTTTCGGATAATAGAAAAAATATTTTATTTTTATTATAATTATTCCAAAAACTGTCTTCTGAACAAAATATTTACAACACAAATGATATATTCAATGCATAGACTTATTATTTTAGTGGTATTTTGAATAATGTACTGATACTTGTGAAAAAATATGTAAATTAGTAAATTTTATCATTAGAAATTACATATGCAACCTTTCTGAAGCCATTATTTTATACAGGATGAGTCATGAGTTACTGACCAACCTTCAGGAATTTATTGTAGACATAAAAAAATGTAATAAAATGAATTATAAATATTTATGTTACTAATGCTCTATTATCGTTCACTTTCAGGTTATGGTGTAATTATATATAATCTATTGTACCAATTATAACTGAATTTTTTATCCAAAATTATATAATTATATTGAGCTTCTTTTATTATATTTCTTTCTAAATTGAATTGATGGTTCGTCTTTTTTGAATCACCCTGTACATGACTTAGGGGACCTACTAGGGATTAAGTCTAAATTAATATTAGATTCATAAATTCCACTTACCAGCATTCCATAGAAGGTAATGGGCTTTCAAAGGCAGTAGTTTTTTATTTATTTCTAAATGCTGCATTGCGACCATACTTATTTATTGTTATTATTACTATTATTATTGGTTACGTATTCTCTTCTGTTATAAATTTTAGTTCCAATCCAAATTTCAAAGCAGGACAGGTTTTTCTCTTCAAATTTCGCCGACAGAACAATTAAAAAAACATTTCCTTCCTTCCTTCTTCCTGCTCCTGCTGATTAGATTGGAAACCCTTGCCTTGTTGACAAGTATTTAGCAGTAAAATAACAATTTTGCACACGCTACTCTAGCACAGACACACGTTCCGAACTGTTACTTGACTCGGACTGAGTTTGCATTCAGCGACTATTGTTTTTGAAGTGCTTCACGTAAATGATATTTATCTATTATCTACACTCGGTTTTTAACCACGTCCATAATAAAATCAATTAATCATAGTTTGACTGCGAGTCAATATATTTTATTGTTATCAGCGTAATGGGATTTTAAAAATTCAAACGGGAATTTAAAGTTGAATTAGATTATAGCGCACCTCTTTTATTATTGCATTTACTGTGGTTTGAATCTTTTGAATGAATAAATTTTATGAAATTAGAAATTAGCATTTGCGCACGGATTATCGTGTCATGCACACGGTAGATGATTCTATAAAGAAATTTTAATAGGATCAATTCTAATTAACATATTGTAGTAGAATTTGTCGTAATTGTTTAAAAATATACACACAAAAAAATTTAAAACACGAAACATAAAGAAAAAGGGTAGAGTGATTTTGTAGGATTAAGTAAAAAATCAGAAAACAGCATATAACGATATTTAATTAAACTATTTCATCTTCTTCAATTTTAACAAATGATTCCTTAAAGCTATCTGCTTATCTTTGAAGCTCCTCTTCACCTTTCTCTGCACTTTGTGCCTGATCATCTGGAAGTTTTTAGTCTTCCTCTTCTCTCTGTTAGTCTTCGAACAATGCTCGTTAACCCTGCCGTCTTTGTAGCCGAATTTCTCTCTATCCTCCTGTCCCTTTTTCACACTCTCCATTCTCGTTTGCTTGTCGTGCTTCCTCTTCTTGTAAATATTCTCGATGTCGCTGAGCTTCACTATTTCCGAAGGCGCCCCCGCCGGAGTTTCGTCCAATTTCCTTTTAACGCCCTTCTTCGCCGTGACTTGTTTCCTCAAATTGGCCATTTCGATTTGCTTGAAATCCTCATCGGTCAGTAACCGTTCCAAACTGATTTTCTGCGCTTGCTCCTTCTTTAATCTGATCAATTCCGCTTTGTTCTTCGTTCGTTGCGCTTTCTTTTCTTCTTTCGACATTTTCCTCTCATCGTCTTCTTCGGAATCCGACCCACTCTCCGAATCATTTCCTTCATCATCGTTTATTTCGTCATCAGATTGGGGGAGGTCGATCCACTCTTCATCACCCGAAGCCGATTCCGAATCGGAGTTTATTTCTACATGAGTCGATTTGTTCTCCAGTAGCACTTCAGCACCGGGAACGAAATCCTTCGCCGTAACCCTCCCGTAATCGAGTTGCTCCAGCTCCTCGGTGGCCTCCGTGGGGCGCCCCCTGTCTTTCCTGTGCAGCAATTCGGGCCGAACGGTGCGGAAAAGCTGAATCAACGCCCTGAAAACGCCTTCGATATAATCAATAATACTATCGGTGTGTTACGTTACCTGGCTGCCATCATGACAGATCTGTCCCGGTAGTTTTTGTACATGGCCAGGTCCTGCGCGAGGTCCTCGCCAATGGCTAAGGGGCATCGCAGGCAAATCTCCCTAGCGGCGTTCAATCCGATGGCGATGACGTCCGATGAATTTCGCTCCGTTATGAAATTGTTCGCTAGGGTTTTCAATACGGGCTCGATGACATCGGGAGGGACCAGTTCGTGGCTGGCCTGCGCGGCGAACTGCAAGATCCTGGTGACTTCGCGCTGATGGGGCTGCATGAAGCGCTGTATGTAGGGGTAGAAGTTGAAGAGGAAGAGATCGTGCAGGCCGATCAACCGGGAGATGACGTCTAACGTGAGCAATTTCACTTCGAAGCGCCTGTTGCTCGATTCCAGTTGTCTGAATAGCTTCTCGGCCATTCCTGCAATGCGATTTCCGAAATTAATATAATAGACAGTTAATTATTTGTTGTATCACCTTGTGGGTCGTGCAGCAAATGTATAGCGGAAAAATTGAAGACGGGAGCTTCGGATTTTTTCTTGTAGGCTTTCGAGGCTAGCTTTTTGACTTTGGTTAGTTGCTTTTCTCTTTTCCTGGTTTTTTTGTTCACTTTATTCGCCATCATAACTTCCTTCGGATCAACTTCGTTGTCTGAATCGGAGTTGTCGGAATCTTTTTCGTCGGGATCTTTACCTACGAAGAATTTCAGGGACGCGACCATTACCTGCAATTATCTCATTTAATTACTGGTTAATTTATAGTGAAACACTAATAACCTTCATGATTTTAGAGAAACATCCCGTGGCAATAACATTTACAGTCTTAGCATCGTTCCAAACGTTTTTCTTATACAAATCGATCATGATATCGACAGACATTTTAGCGGCCTTAACGTTCGAGTCCTTCAACATACTGAACATGAAATTTTGCAATGTCGAATTCAATTTGGCGTTTTTGTGCTTGCTGTTGATATTTTTGATGTCGGTAATGATGTGATTCTGCAAGAACGTCCTCAGATTTTTGTCCTGGCATCTCAACAACTGGAAGAACAACTCCAAGAGGTCCGTCGGAGCTAAAAGGTTCTTGTTCCTGAGCAAGATCAGGGCCCGGCAGAGGGTCATGCGCATGTTATTGTCCAACACGGTGCTGTGGCTCTGCAGGAGGTCGATCAGCAACTGCGGGAAGTTTTCCAGTTCTTTCGGGTAACATTGCGCCACCTGGGCCATGAACATCACCAGGTCGTCCAATGTTTTGTTGTTCTGGTGCGGCGTCAGCTTGAACACCTCGATTAAATTGTGGAAATGTTGCAGTTGCTGCACGAATTCTTCGTGGTACGAAGGCGGATCTCTCTTGATGAGATTCTGCAATTGGGGTATGTTATTTGGCAACTGGTTATTGTGTCGCACCATTTTGACCGATAGTTATTAATCTTTGAATCGATTTTAAACGTTTACGGTAACTATTTTCTATTATTGTAATGTTGAAAAGTTTCAAAATTATTCACATGTTAAATAAAAACATAACCACAAACATTGACAACTTCTTCTTTTTTTTTTCTCCCTATAACTTATCAAACTTGAGACTTCTCTTATGGAAGTATACAGTCAAGTGAGATATACGGTTTTTAGCCAAATATATGAAAAGATGTAACTCATTAGAACCCAAATCAGTTTTCAGTTGCTTAAACTATTCAATATTTTAGGAAATATAGCCCTTTTAAATTTAAAATTTTGACTCGTGACGTCTGAAGTATCACCAATCACATGAGAGCTTTGAGAAAAAATATAAATTACACATTTTTAAAACTGAGAATACTTTTATTAATTCAGTCAAGAATTCTTTATTATATAACACAATAATTATTCTTATATAAATTTGATTTGAAATTACAATACAAAGGCAAACATTGGAACAAATTGTTCAAACTCAAAAATTCCATCGACTATAAGTAAAAGATGCAAGAGGACAAATAAGAATCTCAAATTCACAATAATTCATATGAATATCAATATAGCAAATATAGCTGAAAATACGAATATGTAATAATTATATTTAAATTCGTATTAGAATAGAACATATCAAACCGTCAGTTTTATGCTATTGAGAATTTTTCTATTCCACTGAGCAATTTCGATATTTGGTTATCCAATTCTTCGGGGGGGTTCGAATTGATCGATAACTTCATCACTTGTAGATCATTGACGTCCGAATGAGCAATTGTCGAATGAGCCATTTTTTGCTCCAAGTCTCTCATTAACATGGAAAGTAACAAGTCTACAACCTACAGGTGAAAATTTAATTACCTACATGTTAGGACGCAAAAGATATATTAACCTCTACCTCTTTCAATTCCTCTTTTAATTTTATCATCTCGATTGCGCCTTCCTTCCAAAAATGCTGAAGTCTTTGTAATTTACTAGAAGCCAATTGGAATGGATTCCTTCCGTGCATGTCTAGGCAACTGACGTCCGCTTTGGCATTGATCAGCATCGTTACGATTTTTAAATTATGTACGCACGCTGCTAAATGTAATGGAGTATTTTGGATGATGTCTCGTTTATTAGGATTAGCCCCGTGTTTTAGTAGTAGTTCTACTAAGTCCGAGTACCCCCTGCTCACTGCGATATGCAGAACGCTTCTGCATTCCGAATCGATTGTATCTGGACTAACGCCGCTTTTTAATAACGTTCTAGCGAGATCTACATTATTTAGGTTAACTGCTCCGACCAGTCGAATTTCTAAATATTGGCGATTCAACTGGTTTTTTCTGTTGGCCGTTTTAATGTCGAGTTTGTTAGTTCTCAGTATAGTTCGTCTGATAGCTCGTTTTGGCCTGTAAAAAGTGTCGATACATTTTTTTGATTTCGTTTTCCCTTCGTCTTCTAATTCACTGTCACTGTACGACATGTGTATTGTAGAATAGTACAGTTGGAATGTATATTTTTTTATATTTTTAATACGTATTATTTATTCAAAGTTTCCACTTTTCAATAACTAAAAAAAATCTGTTTTTATTTTTCTATCTCCGAGTAGGTGTACGTGTACTGTCAGTGTCAACAGAAGTGTCAATATTCTTCTTTTTTCTTTGATTTGCCATTTATTATACTCTACAAGCCTTTGTGGAATTGAAAATTATAAATAAATAAAAAGTTAAAACGTATGGATTAATATGAAATATAATTATTATAATTTTGTTATACTGATTTCAAAAAATTATATAAAATTAATGACCTACGGTAGTTCAATTGTATTGATAAATGACAGTTGCAATGACAAATTGACAGATGTAATCCTAAACTTATTTACTACACCTATATAAATTTAATTTGTATATCTTTTTAAATGTTATAAATTAAAATTAGTTATAAACATTTCAGCGATGGGGTCGGAGTGTGGAGATGTTCACATTGAAGATTCCGATGAATCCCTTTTGGATTTTAAAGAAGTACTAGCAGTAATAACAAAATTTTCCTGTTTTTAAATAACAATGAATATCTTATCTAATGTTTAAGATAGACGGGCTTAATTTATGTTTTGTCGTAGATCGAAGATTTGGAGTGTGATATCCCTCAAATCGCTCCCCCATCACTTGAAAATATACTATGGGATCTAGAATCGGAGGGTAGCGATAGTGCTTCGTTGCATTCCCTTCAAAGCATGACCAATAAGTTCCATTCTTTATTATACCATTGTGTTTTGCAAGGTTTATCATCACAGATTGCTTCTGCCTCAGTACGTTTACCTATCCAGTCATTTACAAAATATAATTTATTAACAAAATCGTAGGACAAAGTCAATGCTGGCTCACCAACTGCCATTACTAACAGTACCAATTACATAGCAGTCGGTACTTCCCATGGTTATATACTGGCGTTCGATTGTCAACAAAATTTATGTTGGTACTCCCACGATGCTGCGACAATAGACCAGGGTGCTGTTTCTGCCATATCGTTTAATCTAGAATCAACTCGTCTCTTAGTAGGGTATTTATTCAGACGACCCTTCCATTACAAAATCAATAAACCACAAAAATTTCAGATACGAAAGGGGTTACATTTCGATGATAGACGCAACATCGGGGGACGTCCTTCGACGTTTACCCGACGCCCATGCGCCCCAAACAGCCGTACTATCCTTAAGATTCACCTACTTGAACAATTTAGCGCTCTGCGGAGACTCCTCGGGATGCGTATTTTCGCTTCTATTCAATCGCAGGCTCGGAGTCAGAACGTGGAATTCGAAATGCCTGTTCTCGGGCGCCCGAGGGGAAGTTTGCACCTTCGAGCCGCTCGTTCGAGGCCACGATAGTAATTTCTTGACTAATCATGTTTTAGTCGCAATGGCAACTCTATCAAAGGTATAAAAAAAGTACCTATTTAACTGATTATATGTTATATGATGTTGCAGGTTATAGTTATATCGGTTCGACCAAAATTACAAGTACATTATAGTCAACAATTACCAAGAATATCGACATCTTTACCGCTACTCTCCTGGCAGTTAGTTTCAGTAGGAAAATCGTTTCAACCGGTATTAGCTTGGGGTAGAGGAAATGAATTACATTATACTCGTCTAGTATCGCACGGCTACAATAACAGTAGAATTACATTATTTCCTTTGAGAAAAATTACAGTACCGTACACGATGAACGCCCTTCATTGGCTGGGCACTCGCCATTTGGCCATATTAGACACTAGCGAGAATCTGAGATTGGTCGAAGTGAGGAACCAAAGGGAATTGGAGATTTTGGAGGTTTCTAACGCTGGATTGGTGTACAATTCCGCGCATTTCAAGGCGCTCGCCGTCGGAGGCGGCGTTAGCGAGGCATTCGCCTTGGCTGGTAAATATACCACCTAATTATACATAAAATATGTAATAATTTGCTGTAATTTTAGGCGAAAGAGCGTGTTATAATAGCATATCTAGTCGAGGAGATCAACTGTTGATTTTGGGAACGAGGGCTGTGCATATGGTTAAATTAAGGAGTTGGTCCGAGAGGCTGTTTTACCTCAGCGAACAAGGCCGTTGGGCGGAGGCGCTGAACTTGGCGTCCGCTGAAGGACCAAGTAGGGAAAAATTTACAGTACCATTGATCAACAGATACTTGGAGAGTTTGACGATAAATCCAGTGGAAAAAGACAGCTTGACAGCCGCTGTAAATTGCTGCATAAAGCTGGGGAAAATGTGAGTCGAGAACTAAACAACCCAATTCGATAACATCTATTTGTTTCAGTGATATATTATGCAATGAACTGTTCGATGTAATCTCGACGAACCAACATCAAAAAGACTGGTATTTGTCGTTACTAACAGATCAGATTTGCGCGGGATCTTTAACGGTTCTGTTACCGCAAACCGCTCAATTACTAGTCAAATATTTAGAGGATAAAGACGAGCAAGCTTTAGAAAATGTATTATTATCGTTAGACGTCGCCTGTTTAGATCTACACCAAGTTCTAAAGATTTGCAAGAAATTAAAACTGTATAACGCTTGGATACACATTACTACTGGAACGTTGAAAGATTACGCCGGACCTCTGACTGAATTCCTCCACGATTTAACTCCAAATAATCATAAATTAGGTAAAAAGTAGTAAACTACAATTTCTATCAATCATTAAAGGCAATCATTTTAGGCAATATACTGTTAGTCTACGTTTCATCTTGTTTGGCCGGGCTGGGTTACCCGACGGGTAATATACCACCAGAAGAGGTCCCTAGAGTGAAACACGACGTCTTAAGATGTCTCGAAACGACCCATTCCATTAACTACCCTCCAGACGAGCCGACATATCCCTACTTAAGAGCCCTACTTAAGTACAACACGAGAGAATGCCTCAACGTCGTCGAATTGGCCTTCTCCCAGCCGGAATTCTCCGGCGAAATGGGCCTTTTACAGCGCCAGCGGTTGGTTCAAATCCTGCTGCAGATCGTGAAGCCCGGGGATTTCTCCGTGAGGACAATCTATTTCGAATGCGACCGTTTAGACACTAAGGTAGTCATTTTCAGGATAGCCAAGTGATAAATTTAGCGTGCTTCGTATCGAGGCTGGTGGTTTCGAACAACATTACATTGGACAATCACGTGCTGGATTCCGCCATAAAGTCTCTGACGGAAACGAGCGATTCGATATCGTTGAGGGATCGAACGGAGAGAGAGCAGGCCTGGCTCGATCTCTTGAATCTCAACAAAATGAATCATCTGAAAACTAGTCATTTGTTAGCTTTAGCTTTGGAATCGAAAACGTACAGGGTCGCCGAGCGATTATACGAAATCCAAAAGGACTATTCCGACGTAATAAACTGTTACTTGCAGGACCCAGTGAGGAAGTTCGAAGTGTTTAACTACGTTTTCAAACACATTAGTGCGCCCGAGAGACTTATAAAGGAACAGTTTTTAGGCAATTTCAAGCGATTGGTCGAAATAAGCGCTAAGAAAACCGTGGAAGTAGTGTCGGAGTACTTCCAAAATCTATTAGACGAATTCTGCGATATACTCGAAGACGATGGCAAATTGCAGTACGAATTTCTGAGCGAATTAGTACAGTTAGATATAAAGCTGACGTCCCAGTTGGCGGAGAAGTACTTGCACCAGTTGTGTTCGATGAACAGAAACGAAGTATGCAATTACTTGAAATCGAGTAATTGCAGGAACGACGAGGCTTTAGAAATCGTTAGGAAATTCCAGATACACGAAGCCGAAGCTCTATTATTAGAAAGAAGCGGCGAATGGACGGAAGCTCTTCGGTTGCTGCTCGAGCAAAACATGTTGGAAGAAGGGATCAGTTTGTGTATTAGAGGAGTGGAGCATTTAGATAACGAAGGTAAAAGTACTGTGGTTTGAAAGGGTTTTAAAGTATAACTCGCTTGTCAGCTATATTTCAATTTAATTAAAAATAATTTTTCATTTAAGATAAAAAAACGCCCTGTATATCAATTTTTCCGATTTCGTTAATGAAAAAACACCCTGTACATCAAATTAAATGTCAACATATCCATAGAAACGCAAAATTCATCCATTTTGTCTTTCGTTCGGGAATGATCGTACGTCATCGTAGATCTGAAAGTTTTCACTTCCGGTTCGATGGCAGCCGTAAAATATGCATCGATTTCGAAAAATCTTTATAATTCGATAAATAATAATTAAGAAAATGGGGAAAAAATTTGGTAGATAGAAAAACGTCGTATCTATAAATTTTCGCTTTCAAAATTTTCTAAAAGATGATAGTTTCCGAGTTTTGGCGTTACAAACTTGAAGACAATTTAAAAACGGTTTTTTCGAAAAAACTCGAAAAGTACAGATCGGAAAAACACCCGGTCTCTTTTGTCGGATGGAAAAAAGAATTTTCAATTATTTTGCAAGTATGAAAAATGTTCGTAAATCTTACCGTTTACGAGTTATTTCGATTTTTAGAAAACCCTCGAAAACCCTTTTCCACGATATTTTCCCAACACGAATTTTCCCTGTGAAACGGTTGTATAGGAAAGTTGAGAGAACCGATGGAGAATCTTTTGGGAGATTTTGAAGCGAATCGAACATACTCGATTCGAGAAAAGTGCGAAAACCCGAAAAAAAAGGGTTAATTTTGCTCATTTGACACTGAAGATGAAATTTGATCGAGTCGAAACGTCGATATTTCAATCGGGCGTGTGCGTTTCCATAGGATTCGATATTTTTACGGCGGCCGTAACAAAAAATCTCGAGAATGACCCTACGAATTTGGGCCTTACAGCTTTACAGTATTAGTGATGTATCTTTTTCGTAGAATCGCAGAAACTCTGGTTGACTCTACTGCAAAGCCGGAAAAGTAATTCTGGTGTATCGCTCAGGCAGCTACTCCACGCGGCTGCGCCCCACGTGCCTCCCGATCAAATGCTCAATCTAGTAACCAACGCTAGTTTCGGAGATGTCAGAGGATTACTGCAAGGAATGTTGAACGATTACACGTACGATATCGCTACCTTAAACACCACATTCAAATTGCTCGGTAAAGATTTACATTACGGTGAGACCAGCGCGAAGAAACTCGCCGAACGAGATGAAAAACTTGGTTTTTTTTTTAGGTTTAGTCAAGCAGATTTCGGGCAACGGTAGAGGAGTGTCCGTCTCTAATACGACTTGTACTTTATGCCAAAAATTGCTGTATCGCAAGGAGCTCGATAAGAACGAATCGTTCTACGTGTGGAGCTGCGGGCATTGTTTTCACGCTTCGTGCGTTAGAGCCGCTGAGATAAATAACGCTTGTCCCCAGTGTCGACTCAAAGGGGCTTTGTTACCAAAGAAGAATAAGAAAATCGAAAATCCGGATAAGTATATGTTGAACGGTCACGTTAGACCTGATCTGGAGGGCCATTTCTGATCACATTTAGCTATAATTTTGTTATTAAATAATGGAGTCTATTTATATTTATTTTAAATATTTTATTAAAATATATCACCCAGAAACTTTTTTGTATTGTAATTTATCCCCTAAGATTTAAATTTTTGAGCAATATATTTTTTTTTAATTCGAGGAGATTAACAGTATAGTAAAAAAAAAAGGTTTACATGTATTTAATTAAACTTAAAAATGTCTTTTTTTTACATTCATGTAATTCATTAACGGTACAGTATTTATTGGACTAGATAAATTCAAACCCTTCGTATTTATCGTCTGCTATAAATTCATCATCGACGATCATTCTTCCTTCTACTGTAAAAGCCGTTAGGTACGTAGCAGTTTTCCCATTCAATTCCTCAGTCCTTAAAGCTACAATGACATTGTCATTGGACGTAGGTACGAATTTAAAGCTAGAAAATCCCCTAGTCGATTTGGAGTTGCTTATTTTTATCACAGAAATATCTCGTATGAGAACATCGGCGGACAGAAGAACCGAGCAGCCCCTGCGCTCGTCCAAAATCTCATTGTAGGGCTCGCTGCTGCACCTTCTGGGCAAGAAGAACCATCTTTGATGAACGCTGGACCACAGCCCGCTTTCGTGTATCATATAACCGGGCCATTTGATGCCGATCGCTTCTCTCAATCTCGAGTATTCATCCATCCAATTTATGTGTCTTATGTGGCCTTCTCTGTTGATGGCTTTGACGTATTGGGGGTCGTTGTTGACAAATTCTCCGGTTTCCGAGGTCCATTCTTTGCCGATAGAGCCGACGTATAGAAGCTCATCTTTCATCGTAGCCCATTCTGACTTGAAACCTTTAGCAGTTCTGCCGTTACCGTCCATAAGTATCGTCCAAGGGATGAGATTGTTGTTGGTTAATTCGAAAACCAATCCAGTTCGATCGTCGAAGGTGAGTAGCCGACCATCGTAGGTTACTAACTCCGATAATTCCAGCCCTCTGCCTTTAAGGGCATAGCTCGACTTCAAGGTGTTTCGTTCTTTTTGATCCCATTTAACTATAATACTGTTGGTTCTCGGATGGTAACTTAAATATCCCGTTTTTAAGTATGAATACCAGGTATGTTTTTCATCTTTGCTGAGGGAGTTTGTATCGAGATCCGCTATTATGCCGATTTTGAAAGTGTGCATGTGTTTAGTCATAACGGGTTTTGTTATGGGATATGTATAGTTGTAGCCGCTGCTCCTGTATAGGCTACTTGTTGAATCTCCCTTCGAAGAATTCGTGTACATGAAAAATAACAGGAACACTCCTGTCAGGCCTACGAAGTAGACAAATACGGTCTGGCAACATATTGTTCGATTCACAATCCTGTACGTGGGTTGAGACTTTAGGGCTATCCTCCAATCCCTTGAGCTTATCATAATTCGTTAACACGGCTGTTCAGAAGACTTGAATAGGGGCCAGTTATCATAAATCAATAACACTAAAATGAAAAAATATATATTTAAGTTATTTGTATTATTCATAATATTATCTACACTATGGTAAGTTATGGATAGTTATTTATAAATTACATTGATAGCAAGATTAACAATTCTAAAAGTTTACTTACTTATGTTTTGTTCTAAAATATATCTAATTTCTTTAATAAAAATTGAATTCAACTTTTATTACACGTATACTTTCCATTTCTAATCCCGTTTCTGCTGATTATTTTTATGAAAAATGAAAGGTTAAGGAAACGTCACAGACTTGTCACTGTCATTTGAATTTTTCTTCTTTTTAGTGTAAAATTTAAATAACCTACTAATTACATTTAGTATCAGTGACTCATTAAGAAGAGACCAGATTTTGACATTTACAATTGTCAAGTTGACAGCAACTAACCTAAATGTTTATTTAATTTATTTACAATTATATTTATTAAGAAATTCACTAAAATATTAAATAATGGATAAAAGTGATAGTGATACTTGTTATTTGGAATTATCTAAGGATCCTATTCGTTTCGAAGCTGTTAATCAATTGACGAATGTCTTCTTCGATGACTCCAACAAAGATGTGAGTACCAATAATTTTAGGTTCAATACTGACAAATTTAAATTTGCCTTTACTTAGGTATTTGCAGTTCGATCCGGAGGTGTTATGGGCGTAGTAGTTAAAAACGCTGAATCCGAATCAAAGTATTTAGATTTTCGTATGGAAGATCACGGATCTGTTCTATCCATAAAATTCTCTCCTGACCACAAAATCCTGGCTGTTCAGAGAGGAACCAATTCCGTAGAGTTTATGAACTTCGATGGCACGGCTCTAGACACTGAATATTCCCAAACATGCAAAAAGAATTGCAATATCCTTGGATTCGTGTGGTCGCAAGTTAATGAAATTTCATTCATAACCGATCACGGTATAGAATTATACATGGTCATACCGGATAAAAAATCCTTGAAACACTTAAAAACCACATCGGCAACAGTGCAGTGGTTCGTTTGGTGCAATTCAAACAAACTAGCCCTTCTCGCTTCTCATCACGGATCCCATTTGTTACCTGTGATCATCAAAAATGGCACCACAAATAAACTCAATAAAGTGGATAGTGAGTATTACGCCTCCAATGCATCGCCTTCATTAATTTTCTACTTACTTTGGATATATTTTAGCTGAACCAGGTAAAATGGCCCTCGAAAGAGATATAACTTTGGCTACTCTTTATGGAACTCCCGCTGTATTGATATTGAGGCATCAGAATGGTCCAAATGCAGCTGAAGTGCATGTTCATACATTAAATGGCCCTGGAATGTCTCCTGTGAAATCTCACGTGTTAAAACTGGGATTAACAGGCAGATTTGCGATCAATATCGAAGATGATATTATCTTAGTTCATCATCAAGTGAGTTTATTTTTTATACTGCTTTTCCTTTTATGAATGAATTGAATTGTAGGCTTCAAGAAGTTCTGTGATATTCGACATTGCTTTGCCAGCTGAAAATGATGGTACTGTTCAATATCATTCTCCTGCAGCCTTTGCCAGGTCAATAAAACCCGCCAGTATTACTTTACCTGGACTTAGAGACAACGAAATTCATTATTGTGAACTTTGTATCCTTTTTTGTAACAGTTCGATGGAGTTTACAGAATGATCTAATAGATTTCCTATGTGATAATTAGATTCTCCGAATTGGGTAGTATTCCAGCCGAATATTATAATAGACGCGAAATTGGGTTGTTTGTGGCACATAAAACTCTGTTTACCAGAACTATGCGAAAATATAGCAGACTTGAGGAAATGCACTCAAGTAATGTTGAAAAGAACCGAAGGAAAAACAGTTTTATTAAACGTAAATACTAACAAGTTTCTTCCGATATCGCGCTAAAACGATACGTTTCAGGTGCTATTAAAATACATAAAACAAGCCAAACCGAAATTCGACGTTCTTCAAGAATCCTTCAATCACATCAACTACATATACAGGGATTTCATCGAAGCGGAACTCCAACCGAACATCGGCACATCGCCCGGCGCCCCGATCGTCCCCAAAAACCTCTCCCTTCACAGGGTGCTCGTCGATCAAGACGACATGATGAACGAGATATTCCAAAAACTCGATCCTGAAAAGGATTTACCCAAAATCGAATGGCTGTCGCTCAGCTACCTAGCTTCGCTGTCCGAATGCAGCATATCGGCCCAGTACAACTTAACCGAATTACTAGTGACTTGTCTCGTAAGTGGCCTCGTACTTATTCGTAATCTTTTACAGGAGTCGAGTGTTTCAGGCGAGGCAGAAAAAATTCACGGTGCTCCAGCAGATGCTGCAATACGGGGCGATAGCGGATTCGAAGCCGCTGGCCTGTTTGCTGTTGTCGTTGGGCAACATGCATTCGGGGGCCTCGCAAATGGCCTTGGACATGTTGGCGAGGATGGACGCCAGAGAGGAGATTCAGGAGGTCCTGCTGAGCGACGGGCAAGTGCTGTCAGCTTTGAAGTTAGCCGATAAGACTGCTAATCCGAGGAAGTTTTTATCCGTGGCCGAGCAGTCGGGTGATTTGACGCTGTTCCACAGCGTTCTGATTCATTTGAAGAACAATCCCGATTTTGCTGGGGCTTTTCAAAAAGGTATGTTCGAGTTTTCTGTTTGCTAAGGGTTCCTGAAACATTGTTTTTAAGCTCATTTAAATTCTATATTTATTACTACAAATTACATGTAACTAACGCACGTGTTTCAAAAGAATGTCTTTAATAAGGTTTATTACTTGAGGATTAGTAATACTGTCTATCAATTCCAAATTATCACTAGTATTTTTTTGCACATCGATTGAATTATGAAATCTATTACTTTGTTGTTGAAGGAATAAAATGAAGTCTTCTTTACTTAAAACTGGGATTGTTTCATACGATACTAATCGTGTTTCTTCTTCTACTTCTCGTTTGGTAAGTTCTCGTTCTCGTTTTCCTCTTTTATTTTTATTGTTTTTACTACAAATATCTTTGCATTTCAAAAGTGTGTCCAAAAACGAACTCGAATCGTTTTCTATAATTAATTCATCCATGTTCGGGTTTAATAATGCATCGGTTTCTTCAGATGCCAATAGAGACATTTGTTTGATGAAAAATTGCACGATGGATTCCTGTAATCTTTCTTCATCATCTTCTTTACTAGGACACCAAGCATTAATTGTAATACTGGTTTCCAAGTTTTCCACGTAATGCCACCATTTGTGCGGTACAAATAGCACATCTCCCGGGTTTAATATGCATTTCCTGCATTTGTTGGTATTGCCTTGGAAATCGTCCGTTTGTGGACTGAAAAAATTGAATTTCGAGTATATACTTGACTCTTCGTATGGTACCCTAGTGGGCTTTAAATTTTCTTCAGGTGGAAATAAAAGCCACAATTTACTGCCGTATATTTGGTGTACTAAATTAAAACCGTAACAGTCCATGTGGCATGATGTATGGGCCCCTTTCGAGCCTATCCAAATTGTACTGTCGTCTGGTTTGATGTCGGGGAAACCTAAGGAACTCCAATCTATTTCTTGCCTTAATTTTTCGTTATTACTGAACCAAGCGTTGAGTTGCTTGTAATCGAAATACAACCATTTCTTTTCGTTCTTTTCTGTGAAATCCAAAAAGTATTCGAAATCGCCTTTTAGTGTTGGTGTGTTCCGTTCCCATTGCGGTTGATTCGTTTTTTCGTTGATTCCACATCTAAATTCCATTTCTTCGTTGTTTAAAGCGGTCTTCCAGTCGTTTAGGGTCCAGTTCAACATATCCCATTTTAACACCGATTTTATAATGATTGGTTCGTTTTTTTCTAATAACAGGTTTTTTAAGTCTTCAGAATTTGCTTGTAAAGTCATGCTTTAGGTTTTGAATTTACGTTTTTGGATTGTTTTCATTCAATTTTGAATTTTTATTCGAAGAACTTAACCTCAATGTTTTTTATGTTTGACAGTTTTTGACGTTAATGACAACTGCTCTACTTTTTTTATTAATAGTGTGGCCTGATTCATTAGGATTATTCAGATAGATAATTGAGATTGTTAATAATTATTTGTGTTTTTTTTAGATGAACGATTGATGAATTTTATTCAACAGTACAATAATATGTTTGATAAAAATAAGAAATCCGAAAATACTTTAAATCAATAGCCTAAAATCAAGTGGAAGAAAAAAAACTTCATGTAATTATGTAAGTACCAAAAATAATAAAAACATAGGTAATTTTTTCATCGTAGGTAAGAAATATTTACATTCCTCTAGTCATTGTATTTATACATATAATTCTATACTTATATATATTCTATAATAAATCATTTTTGTGTCAAAGAAAAGACTATAAATGAATGTGCGTTTTCTTTATTATAATCTACCGAACAAATACTGACAGTGCTAAAATTCCATATCAATCATCCAACGTTTGTAAACTTCCACCTTTACTTATTGTGCGAAATCCTGTTCCTTCCTCTGGGATACAAAATGAGATTAGAACTGTTCAATTTATCATCGCTCTTCAGCGTTTCCTTGAAATTCCCGGGCTTTATAGAAATAGTCATCGGTTTCAACTCTTTCGGGTAATACGGCGACAAAGATAAGCTGTTGACGAGTTTAGGTGGCGATTTTTTATCATCTCTCTCCCTTAACTTCTTCCTATAATATATAACTTCCCCGATTAAGGTAATCATGGCTAAAGCCAGACCGAATAAAGTTGCTATGAAGACACCACCTGTGGAAAAATTGCTATAAAAATGTCGAAATTTGGACTCATATTTACCTAAACTCTCCAGTGTAATTCCCTCATTATCATCCATACTCGGGCAATTCCCTTTGGCCGAATGATTCCAGTACTTCTCCTGCAACCCTTCGAAGAACCGGTCCTTCTGCAGCTTCAGAATCCTGCAACCCCGCCGATTCATTCAAGCCTTCCACGCTCGCCTTCTACTCACACTTTGCTCAGCTCGTCCTGCATGTGGCTGCCTTGCTGCACGGCCACGGCGTAGGGCTTCTCGGCGAACACCTCCCCGACCTCCGTCAGGTTGCAGTTCATGCTGATCTCGTACTTGATCTCGCTGGAGTCGTGTATGAAGGCGTAGTCGGCGTCCAGGTGCTCGTCGACGTTCCTGAAGCCTTCTTCGGCCGTATCCACCGGGTTCGAGTCGTTGATGGCCAGCAGAATGTGGCCGTACTGCTCCCTTATGGGGTAGTCCCACACGCGGTACCGCTTGTCGTCGGTGGAGGCGTTTAGAGTCAGTTCTTTCCACATTCTACCAGGCATATATCGATGAATTTCCTCTAAATAGAACGTGGTATACTCACTTGTAAAGAATATCCTCGGCGTACTTCATGTTGATGAAGTACCGGTGCGTTTGGGAGTTCCTCACTACAGTGTAGTTGATTCTCGATTGCCTCGCTAGCTGCTCCAAGGATTGGACTGGAGCCTGCGGTGGAGAGATTGGTGGTTGTTTTTTTTGGGGGTTTGTGATGGGGAACTTACCTGCATTCGTTCTACGGTGAGGAAAGCGGCCAAATTGGCGGTGAAAGTGGCTAACATTAGTACTACGAATAGCCAGTAGGCGGCTACGAGGGTTCTACCAGAGAGGGATTTGGGGGCTTCCCCGCCGCCTTGTGGCGTGAAAGAAGTGAGCGCGAACCAGAAGCTTTCTTTTAAAGTAAACTCTCTAAAACGAATTAATTTAGCAGTAATTAAACGTAGAAGTAGAAATGGAAATTGTTACCTGCAAGGATACGGGTAGGCTTTTTTGTTGTTCCTTGCGCTGTATGGTGAGTATTTATCCAGGAACCAAATCATGAATCCTGTTACTATCAATGCTGCTACTATGCTGAACCACACCTCTAATTTGAGCACTGTCATAAATTTGAACAAAGAGGTTTTCCTGACTGGTTTTCGCATCACTGCAATAAATTATTGCCTTTGTAAGATGCATTAAAATGTTGTAAAGCTCTTTACCGATTGTTATTCCGGTTTGTTCGAAATAGGGAGCCACAAAATCGATCACCTCTTCTTTGTCGGCCGTCATAATGAGAGCTGTAATAGCCAAATCGGTTCTCTAAAAAAATGTAAATGTAAATTCTACTTTCATTCATCTTAAAGTCTATAAGGGCAAGTCGTGAAGATTCCTGTAGTGGTAAAGCAAGTAAGAGGTGAGTAATTTCATCTCAATTTCGATTGTAAAGTGTATGAAAAGCAATTCTTACTCCAGAAACCAGATCCCCTACAACGCCGTTCCAAACACCATTAACCTTTTCGCCAAAAGTTCCTTCCTTGGGTTCGACGATTTCGAAATTGAAATTCATCACTTCCGCTATTTTCTCGGCGAAATCGACGCAATAACCGGTCCATTTCATTTCACCCGTCTCAGGATCTTTCGCTTTGTAACTCCACGGCAGCGCCTGGAAATTATTTTTCCCCTCAGGAGCTATATACAAAGAGATCATGTAGTGAACTTACATGCGAAACTCCTATACTATAAAAAGCTTTAATAGGCTGGATAGTTTTGTTTTCCACTAGAGTAGCATGCCCGTCATCGTAGCTCACAACAAGCTCAACAGAGCCATTGTTACCGATACCAATCGATCCGAAGCTTCTCAGCCTGATCTTCGAGTAATTGTAGTACATGAAATCGTCGTTGGCGAAGGTGGAAAACAGGCGGTCGTCGAAGGATTTCTGCAATCCTTCATTGGCGATTTTGCCATCGCAAAGCGGGGTTTCTATCGAAGTCCCTTCCTTTAGGAGACCGGAAACGGCGTCGGCGATCACGGTCAGGGATTTTTGCAGGAAATGCTTGCGCAGATCGAAATCTCTGGGGCAGTTGCAGTCGTCGTTGGAGCTGGTGAAGTAGCAGCAGAGCTCTGGGTTTAACGTGAGGATGTTGACTGATCCTTTGGCTATTAAATTTCTGTCTAATGCGTTCGAATGGAAGTCTAGGAAGACCAAATTCCAACGTTCTGGTAGTATTACTAGGTTCTCTCGAAGGGCCTGTAAATATGCGAAAGGTTAAGACATAATTGGGCTATTAATTACTACAACATTACAATAATTATTCATTGAACTTTTTGATAAATGGGTCAAACCTTGTAAAACATCTTTATTCCCTGAACTAATTGCTTGTATTATCATATTTTTATTACAAAAACGTTCCACAACTAATCACAAAGGTTTCTTATGCTTGGTTAATCTCCATCATCAGATTAAATGATAATTGCATTATTGAATTATTGCAAGAATTAAATTGCAAAAATGGAACGTTAATGTAAATTGAAGGTGATCGAAACCGTGAATTTGTGGAGAAGGATTTAAAAAAAAAACAAATCTACTCTGCAATTTTTATAGGTATTTATTTTTCTTCGTCGACTTGCAAATTGCGCCAGCCCTGTAGCTAATAAAAACCCACGCAACTCATTGTATTACGAATTGTAGCAATTATTGCACTGTAAACATTTCAGTTACTAAATTTTTGAAGCAAACAAATTTGAATTTGATACCGCTAGAAAGTTTTCAAGGAAATATCGAAGGGGACAAAATTTCATCGAATAAAAAACATTGAATATATGCAGATTTTAGAGATTAAAAATCTCTTTAAAATAATGTGCAAATGGTGTAATTTTAGTGCAACAATCAAGACAGAAGAATCTAACTCTGGTGTAGGAATTATATAGGATGTGCAAATAAAATGATCACAATTTAATATTTCTTACTAATTTAAAGAGCCTATTCATATTTTCTGTGGTTGCAAATAAGGCGAAATTGTTTGGAATCGGTCGAATATCTCTTAATTTTTTCAAAGAGCCTGCCGTCAAAGTGTCTGTCATTATCATTCTCATTTTCGGGATGTTCATCCAGTAATGAAGAGTTTGATCAACATCTAAAGAATTTCCGAAAGTAAATAATGTGATTAGAATGAAAGTTCATTATATGATTAAAAATAATTTGATAATTAATTACACAAATTAGGAGAAATGTGTTTTTAAAAATATTACATAATTTTAGGGTAAAATACAGGTAGGTATTATCTAAGCAGGTAATTTATTTTTAAAACAAAGTTTGCTATTACGCTAATCAACCAAGCAAACGTTAATTGGTTAAAATGTAAATGTTGCATAATATCCTACAATTTTACTTTAAAACTATTTTTCATAGAAACCGTCCACATATTCTAGCAAATCATGATAAATACTCACACCAAGGATCCTCGAATATCAGCGTGATATCCGTGGCATTTCTTAAATCCAAGTAACTATCAAGCAAATCCAAATATGGTGTTATAGCTACATCTATTTTAACATATGGAATTCCGATGCTGGAAAATAATTGCTCAGCTTCCTCCTGTTTGCCCCAAGTTATGTCTAATACAATTTGCGCTCCTTGAGATAGAGTATCGCAAGCTGTGGATAATAAAATTTTTAATTTCTCCTCAATCATTCTTCAGTTTTTATTCTATTTTGTGTTACCTTTGGTTTTATTGAAAGTATCGATATTTAGTTCGATGGTTTCGAATTGAAGAGACTCTATTGAATCCACGAAATCATTGTACCATTCTGTGATCGTGTCTTGATATTTTTCCTTCATTAATACTGAAACAAGTTAATATTAAATTATTCTAATAACGTTTTAATGATTGCTGTAGGTAGGAAACAATCAAATTGTTTGTAATGGTATTATCAATTAGCTGAAATATTTATAATCACCCGCTTTGTTTTCCCAACAAAAATGTTTTATGCGATTTAGGAAAATTTCCCGCAACCTTGTTTCATTAAACATTAATTCCGAGTTATGTGTTTCGTGTTGTGCATAATTATTTTTTTAATAAACGATAAACTATATGCTTGGATTTTCATAAAAATATTTCTTGTATTTTTGTGTAGAGTTAAAATTTCTAGCTTTTAAGATAATATACTAAATTAAAGATATTTTTTCAAGTGGCTTCTATTTTCTCCGAATTACTCCGCAAGAAAGTTAATTAAATTTATTGAACGAAAATTGTTTCACGTCTGTGATTCCGAGTACAAATAAATGCAAAGAAAACAATTCTTCGAAATTCTACCAGAGCAAGATCTCGCCGGTTTTTGTTCATTTTGTCCGTTTTATAAGAGAAATGAAAGTAATATGAAACTATCAATTTTTTTTCGATTGCTTTTACTTATTTCAATCTACACGGTTGTTCGATTCGCGACTAAACGTAATAAATTCAGTGGCGTAATTAGCTATTTTAAACCATATTATTCAATGCTTTATCGATGGTAAATACACCAGAGGAAAAAGGGGATTTCCCTATTTTATTTAGTTTTTAAAAATGTTACTAGAACTAACAATTGCCAACTTTCATACATTTGCAGTTAAATATCTGTGATCCCATAATTTCCCCTAGTCAAAGAGCCCATTTTTGATCAATTTTTTATCTATATTAAACAAGATTCTCTTGAAGAAAGATCATTATTTTAACTTTATTACCTGCCTTTTGAACCAAATAATTCTCAATATAAAACATATTTTGAAACCCCATTTTTGTACCAAATATTTATGATATTTTTACGCCCCAACTCCCCAGTTTTTAACAAATTTCAACCACTTCGGTTATTGACTTTATTCCATTTTTACACACCTCCCACCTATCATGTAAATATTATCAGCCAGTCTCTGTGCGACATTGTGAACTAGATTCAGTAATTTGCTGGCGATATTGTAAAATGGAGAATTGAAATAGCGTTTTCGAGGCGAGCGTTACCGGTGTGGCAAAGCGAAAAATGATTTCAGCGGGATTTGCTCGGTCGAATTAAATCGTAAGTAAACTAGAATAAGCAAGAGGTGCTTATTGAAGCTCCTAATGATCGATTAAAATGTGAATATTGATTACATAAATTCGAATTTGGAATTTCCGGGTACGGTTTGATTTTTGGTTTAAATTCAGAGTGTAACTTTGTTGGTTGGGAGTTTATGGTAGTTTTTCTGTTAGTTTTTGAATGTAATTTTTTGTTCTATGTTAGTGAATATTGCTGGATATTTCCTGGCAAAGGATTTATGGTCCAATATTGTGAAATGTCCAAGATGATTTACTTGTAGGTATAAAGTATAGATATTAAGATAAGTTTAGATATTTTGAAATATCTAAATTAACAATTTGAATTTCTCAAATAAAATTAATTAAAATTCAACTTTAACTGGTTTAACTTCTTTTCATTATAAATCTTTGCTTAATTTTTATTTTAATGGAGATTATTAAAATTTCTTAAATTTGTTCTGAAGTTGTTAAATGAATCTGTTAATGTATTAACTAACTAACTGTAGTGAACTATTTTGGGTTGAATTTTTAGTGGGTTTTATCTTTTCCCTGGAAAATGCGATTATAACTGTTAGTGAACGATAATTTTTTTGTAATTGTAGGTTATAACAAAGGATATATTAAAAATATGCACTTTCAATGATAAATGCATGTATTATTTTACATATTTACGCCAAATTGTAATTAATATTTATAAAGTCATAGAGTAAATGAAATACTTAACGCAATAATATTTTTTTAATTAACAAAACTAATTAATGTCGGTGTATAATACACTTTTTCCATGAAAAATTAAAAGATATGCGAATTTTTGGTGATAACGAGTCGTTACTACAGAAGTAAATTAATAGATGTTTTGTATAAATTATTATAAGTTATTTTTGTAACTTAACATAGGTGAGCAAATTTACTTCAGCCTCAACAGATTTTCCGGTTTATTCTTCTGCGCAACTCTCCAATTTTTTTCAATAATCCCGTCCATTAATCTCCGGCAGGTTATATTCCAAATAAACCTTCTTCAATAATTAACTAGCAAATAAATATTAACTAAAAACCGCGCTGGTTATAGGAAATACCCGATCCGCATGCATCGAAACAACAAATTAATTGCATTATATAGCAATAATTACGAATAAAATTTATAATTGACCTTCATCTGGAACGCATTCGATAATTGCACGTTACGATTTACAATCAAATCGCAGCGCAAATGAAAAATTTACAAGTCTGGTTTTGGGATAGTAAATCTCGTTATAATAAATCTCGTTAATGATACTCCTGTTGCACGCATGTAAGTAGCAAAAAAATTATATAAACCTGTGTAAATAAAAATTTGAGGAATATGTTATAAATAGATATCAATATTATACTAATTTTGATATTATTAAAATCAGGATTATTCAAATTTGGCGTTATTAATGTTCGTATTTCAAAGTCGACTTGCTCATAAACATTCATCTGGTTTAAAACGTTTCCGACAGAGATTATTATAAGAATAAATTAATCTAGTATTTTTTGTTAAGGAATTTATTCGACAAAAAAAACCCAGTGTACAAAATCACATTTTTTCATCATCTTCGTGATTAATTCATGCATGAAGTCAGTCCAACCCGGAAAAATCTCAACATTTTCGATTTCTATCACAATTTCCTAATCTACCACACCCGTGATACAATACAAATTTATACAGTGAGGACCACTGTATAATTTTGGCCACTGGTTCTCACTGTATAATCTCTTCAAAAACCTTTCCAGGGAGGAGACAATGAGGCTAGCCCTGCTCCTGGCTCTCTTCGGCTCCCTGGAAGCCGCCATCCACTGCGACAAAGAATACAACCAAATCGAATCATTCTACGAACGCGGCTACGACATCACCTGCCAGGGCCTCGCCGGCAACTTCACGCGCCTCCTGCAGGAGCTGGACGTCACCAACGAGATCAGCCTGCGCATGGAGAACTGCACCCTGCCTTCGGCCACCTCCCAGCTCTTCCGCAACGTCCGCCGCATCAAGCACCTGCACTTGGAGAACTCCACCTTCGGCTACTCCGAGGAGGAGCCGGTGTTCCGGCTGCTGGACCGGCTGGAGGACCTGCGCGTGGTCAACACCAAGTTCAAGGTGACCAAGAGCGCCTTGGCGAACCTGCGCAGCCTGAAGGTGCTGACGTTGGTGAACAACGATCTGGACTCCGTCGAGGAGGGCTCGTTCGCGGATTTGGCGAAGCTGGTGGAGTTGCACGTGGCGGAGAATCGCTTGGTTGACTTGAACAACGTGCCTTTGTGCGAACTGAAGGCTCTGACGAGCCTGAACGTGTCCAGGAATAACATCGGGGATTTGAACAAGGTGCTGTTGTGCGATAGAAACTCTAATGCTAGTGGTTACCAATCGTCCATCGAGTTGTACCAAATCGATTTGAGTTACAATAAAATCCAGGATTTGAGCACTTCTTTCGCGTTTTTGAAGTTTCTAAGGAACGTGAACGTTCGAGGAAATAGGTTGAAAAGTTTGAATAACTCTTATTTTACTTACTTAGATTATCTGGAGAGTTTACGGGCGGATAATAACAGTATAAAAATCGTCGAGAATGATGTGTTTAAGGGTAAACAATTTTTGGAACGACTCGATTTGTCGAAGAATCAAATCGAATATATCAATTTGAAGGATCTCAAGAGCGTTAAATACTTAAATTTAGCTCATAATAAAATAAACATCGCTACCGTGTTGACGATAAACATCAATAACACAGTGGAAGAATTGTTTTTGGACAGGAACAATATCAAAGAAATAGAACCAAACGCTTTCATAAAATACCACAAACTAAAACACCTGCATTTATTCCGCAACAAAATAAAATTAAAATCTCTCAGCTTTAACGGTTTGATTAACTTGAAGAAACTTTACATAAACAGCAACTGCATCAAGTATTTGCCGAAAGGAGTGTTCAAAGACCTGTACAATCTAACTCTATTAGATTTATCGCAAAACAATTTAACCGTGTTAGAATTTAACGATACTTTCGCCAGTTTAAGGCACTTAGAAGTGCTGAATTTATCGAAAAACTCGTTAGAAAATTTAAGGTACGATTTATTGGAGCCTCTGAAAGATCTCGTCGTTTTGGATATCAGCCACAATAAATTGCACTACATCGAATACGACGTTATTTTAACCAATTTACCGCTGCTCAGCAGCCTAGACATTAAGTACAACATTCTATCGTGCGAATTGCTATCGAAGATCATTAAATATCTTCAAACCAAAGGCGTCAGCTACACGATACAGGACAAAATCGATTTAGATAAAATTAACGTGGGCGGTATCTACTGCACCAACGAAAAAATCGGGAATAACAGCGTTATTGTAACACATGTTCCTAACAGAAGCGTCATTTTCGATGTCACTTTAAGTTTAATTATCGTGCTTATTTTAGTCGTGTTGAGCATCGTTGCTTTTAGGGTACACATTTATTTGAAAAGGCGAAAATACAGAGCGGATGAATTCGAGTTGATTGACGAATGAATTGTATTTTAGTAGAAAATTGTATGTAGAAGTGATCCAAAAACTGTTTTTAAAGTACTTTAATTAGTGCTACCAAATCTTCGATCGTCAACTTTGATTTTATTGATCGATTTATGAATCAGCGTTTTTTATTAGTTGAATTGTTAGAGATTTTTAGCCATCGTGAATATAAAAGTTATTGTCTATTGAAAAAACAATGGTTTTATCGCGGGTTGCATGTAAAAAAACAATAATTATCGATCATATCGTAGGTAAGTATTATTTACACGCTTTTAAACACTTCATAGGCGTTTCAAATAAGCGAAATAAAAACGCCTAAACTTCCATTTGAAGTAAGTTTTATAAACGAAAATCCTTATTAGTTTTCTTCCCAAATCATAGCATATGTCCAAGAAATATTAAGATAATTTAAGCGCATTATTAGTAGCGTAAGTTTAATGTAAATTTTTCAACTATTAGTTGTAAGCATTGTAAAACATTCCGTATGAATTTTAATATAAAGAAAATAATATTTTTTTAATTGGTGTACTTTACTTACTTATTTTAATGGCGGGTGCGTCTTGGGTGGAAAAATGGAGTAAGCAAGATAACAAAAATATCGCCCACATTTCTGACGGATTTCTAACTGAATTTCTATTTCAACTCTACTGACTCTATTCCTTTGAATTGCAGGGTATTCAAATAACCGAAGACATTGGCGTATCACAGGAAAACGCCTCAAACATCGCGCATTAAAACAAATTACTTATTGAAATAGACAACACAAATAAAAGATATATTAATCAGATAGTTTTATAGACAAATTTTTCTATGAATTCCTACACTCTGTAGATAACAAGAACATTGTTTATGCCAAAAGCATGATCACTCCATCTACTCCACTGCATGTATATGAAACTAATAACACCATAAAGAAATCCGCTCACGGAATCTTTAATAATAAATGAATCTATCGTCTTCGGTTTTTCCGTTTTTCATATTTCCCGAGTTTTCTATGCCCTGCGTACGCGACCATTGGGTCGATTATCGCGCGACCGGCGACTTCGTGTAACTCAACAACTTTAAATAATAACGTCCCAAAGTGGGTTTGTCCTTTTAATGATATACCTTTTTTTATTCAGTTTTTTTATCAGAGGGTAGTCATTTTTTACGGTAACGAGGAGGAAAAATTTGGGTCAGCTGGAAAGCGCGTGCAGTAAAACCCCGGAGGCGAGCGAGAAAAACGTTTATTCCTTTAGGCAACCGTTAAATATTTAACAGAAGTACCTGCGTAATAGATTACTGATGGTTTTTTATGTACGAATTTTCGGTGGGTTCATTTTCCAACGACTACGTAGGGGTAGTAGTAATAGTAGGGGTAGAAATAGGGGTAGAAGCCGCTCTCCGAAGCTTCCAAGTCGCTCGATTTAACCGGAGATTTCCTGCGAAATAAATTGAAATTGTTCGAATTTATCGCTCGAGAATTTAGCGAACTTACGGAGGTTTTTCCTGTCCTAACTCTGATGGAATTAGTGGGACAGCTATTGCTACAGCCACGAGGGCTAGAATCATTGTAATTACCTGAAAATGCATTTTAAATTAGTAAAATGTTTATTATAATAATATGAAATGTAAAAAACTGAAAATTATTTAATTGGAAATGTTAATAATTGAACTTTCAAAACAGCGCAGAATTTTTAGCAAGATTGAATTGGTATCTACTTGGAATGCGAATTTTATCTGATAAGCGTGAAAAATTAGCAAGGAAAACAAAAAATTTCATATAATTCAGTAATACTTAATTAATTTTAATAATACAACAAAAAATGTACTTTAAAAAGCAGATTAAAACTTTAAATTAACAGTTTCATCTAAATAAATATACAATAAATTCCGGGTTACATGTTAGTAGGTAAATTATTTTATAAAAAAATAAAATGCAATACAGGTAGATATTGAGAATAACTTACCAGCAGTTTCATGTTGTTACCAGAAGATAGCAAAACTTTATACTGCTCCAGTAAATGCAGCTTTTATATATTTATGGGAGTCGAAAAGGAGATGCACGATATAAATATCTAGAATAATCATCTAATTGTAAGATTTACAATGACAAGTAATTGTAGTACATTTTTAGCGATTCCTTTCACATTTTTATGTTTAATTTATTCATTGATTCACAATGATGCTTATTAGGCGTCTTGAATAATGCATCCTTTATCCTTATAATCATCTGGGTGCTGGTGAAACTTGTATGAGAATTTTATTTCAATAAATCTTAAATGATAAATTAATAAGTTTTTTTAAAATATTAAAAAATTATAATGAATGATAATTAGTATGCACTAGATTGATTTTCCTAATCAGAACATTTGCATTTTAAATACTCACCTACACACCAGGATGCATTCAATAGCTTCAAACAGAAAATGGAGTAAAGGCATAAGATTGAATTAAAGAAGTGACGAAAATTACTGGTATCGATAATTTATTTTAAAATTTTTATTCGAAGAATTATTTATCGTACAGGTGTTTTACAACGTGTTAAATTGTTCAGTTTTTTTTTCAGTTTGTTATCGATTCAATCGAAACATTTCAAAGGCACCATTCCTTTAAGGATACTGTTAAATTCAACACTACTTTTAGCTCATTTTGTAATCAAGTTCTTAGACTGTATTAAATATGTAATTAAAGTTTTGCTGGGAGAATATTTTGGAATTAATTTTAGCATCGGTGAATTTAACAGGATCCAACAATTTGTTTGCCTTCATAACCAAATAACATTACTATGAATATCTCTACCAAGGTGGGGTCTTTTATCCCTATTTTTTACAATATCCTAAAATCCACTAATCAACCTTAATTACGCTTTGTACATATAATACATTCACAAATGATTGCAATTCGCACAACTTTGTAAAACCGTCTTTTCGCGTTTCATTTCGGCTAGATATCGTATAAAATTTGTTTCGAAATTGTAGCTCTTCTTATAAACTAATATTTGCATTGGTGTGGTAAAATCGCAAGGCCAAAAACAATTTTTTTATCTATCTCTCCTAGGCAGATTGCATTTTTATAGGCCATGTTTAGTGGTGCAAAAATGGGGAATGTTAGAGCACGACAGAATAAGTCTTTAACGCGGTAATAAATCACAAGAGAGAATTGAATTTAAACGGGGAAATAATGATACTTAATGTTCTCTCGAATTCAAGTCGTGATTGAATTAAAATCTGTCGTTAATCCAATTAATCGAGCAGTTTCATGTCGAAGGTAACAATCATTATTTCTGATGCGGCATTGTAATTAGCCAGATTTATAAAAACAATGACGCTCGGAATAAATTTACGTTAATGAGTGCATTTAAATAATTATTTGTTTACCAGTTGACGGAACATTTTTTTTTATTCTTTCCTTGCGTTTTTACAGAGTAAAATGTGTTGGATGTTCGACGCAATATTTCGAAATTTCGATTACTATTTGAGGTGTTTCTATCACAATAATTGTTTGTTAGTAGAGTTGCTATTCTAGAAGATTTGGAGATTAATTGTTAAACAGAAATTAGTAGTTTTAGTTGGGTTGAATTGAAACAGTTTGTACTTGTAACGTTGATTTGTCTTCGTTAAATTGCGTCGAATAAAACTTTTCTATAAAACCACAGTTCCGCGCTTTCTAACTTTTAAAACTAGTGATTTATTTCTATATTTTCATTTATCCTATCTTAAATATTATTGCTCACGAGAAAATCAAGTGTAGATTTATAAGTTTTATCTATAACAATTTAGTTATTATGTTACAAAATAATTGTAATATTGCTTTCTGGTTACCAAAAATATCACCTTAGTATAAATAAGCGAGTGTTCCTTTGTGCAAAAATACGTAGCTTATATTATTGCGAACATTTTACACGGGTCTTTACAAAATGATTCTATTTTACTCACAATTCACCGTCGTTTTTTCTTGGGTTCTCTATCGAAATTAAAACACTGGAATCTTTAGATAATCATCCATTTACGGTCAACATGAAATCTAATGATATGTAATAATAATGTGAACAAACCTTTTCACTTGAAACTATTAAATTCTATCATAAAATGGTGTAAGAAATTGATTATTTAGTGAATAAAAAGCAGTATAATAAAAATTCATAAACACTAAACACCTACAAAATTATTGGTTTTATTGTAGTTATTTCTAAAATATTTCATGTTGACTGCAAAAAACACAAAAAATAACCCCTCGCTAAGAAAATCGTTACCTAATATTTCAGATTTTCCGATACTTAAGCTAAATTTTAATCTAATAAACATTAAAGATAAATTTTACAATCGGTACTAAATTGTAATAATCACAGTTTTAAGTATAAACTATAATGTTACATTTATTTTATTTATACATTCAACTTTATACGCGGCGGCGTCCGAAGCGAGATTAAAACAAATCAAAATTTCATTAAATATAGCCGGTAAAAAATTACATATCTTTCGAAGAGACACCGTATAGTAAAACTACATTCATTAGAAACATATACAGTGTGAGAGAAATACTTGTAGATGCTTTAAACATCTACAAGTCGCGCCGGTAATGTCTCCAGTTATTTCATTCGCACTGTACCTATTTCAAATTTATTAAATTTATATTTTTGACTGTAGAAGGCTTAAACGTTCTTAAAAATCCATTATTTTTATTATACTTAAACATGTTTCTTGCATATATTCTTTCAAAATAATAAAATACTTCCATCCATTCGGTATACAAATTAAAGCTTAACATTCCGACCGAAGAAAGCTAAAAATATTCCTCCATCGCCCTCGATCGTTTCCTATAGCAAAAAACAACAACATTGTTCTGGTTCCTTCTGCTTCGTCAGCGAAATTATTTCAAAAAATAGCCCCGTAAAACCGCAATATGCACAACCACTTTTTCCTTATTTAACAGTCTCATAAACGCCTTCGATATCTATCGATCATCTCGTCGCAGCTGCCGCGGATAGTAGACTGGAAAACAGTATAAAAGCTATCAACCAGGCGTTTATCGGATGGGCCCTCGCCGAAGCGTCAGTATCGAAACATTTCCCTGCAACAAAAAACAGTAAACCGGTTTTAACACGGTCCAGCTAGAACTGCTCCAGTAAGATGATTATTACCTTTGCTGCTGATGTTAAATACCAACTCCCCTGTAACCCCGGGATGCACCAGCCGGTTGCAATTCTCCGCCGACGTGGAGAACATAACTCCCGCCACAACTCGCTTGTAAATGAAGCAGAACTTCCTCGAGCCGTAGGTCGCGTGGTCCTCCGGCGAGGTGATCAAGAAACTCGTGCCGTTCTCCTCCCACTGTCCGTGACAGGAATACGCTGGAAAAAAAACACACCGAGTTACTCAAACCGCCTAAAAGAAAGCATCTTCGGGCAACTTACAGGTGACGAGATCCGGCGCCGAGCAGTCCGTGGTGAACTCCATGGTGTAGTAGTTGGAGCAGCCGACGACGAACTCGCCGAAGCCGTCGCAGTCGAGGTCCTCGTCGAGGCGCTTCACCCGCCTGAAGGGCGCCGATCGACCCGGCTTCCTGAGGTAGAAGCTTCCTGAGCCGATCTCCTCGGCCTTGCCCGCGGCGGTCTCGCGCTTGTTCTGCACCAAATTGGTGATGTCGAATTTGCCAGCGAACGGGCACCGTTGGGCGTCTATCGATGGCACTGGAACAGCCATTTTATCATCCAAAGACTGGATGATTGGTTTATGGGCTACTTACTGACTAACGTGACGAATGGGATAGAGTTCTTGTCGAAGAAGTTAGAATTGCAGGCGTCTTCTCGGCGATTCGTCTGAGTGCCCATTTGCATTTCCATAACGTTCGCGTCTCGACGGTAAAACGCCATGCAAACGTACCCATTTTGGCTGAAACAAACCAACAATTGTACCACACAACAATGAAGAAGACCACCAACAACAATGGAGAAGACCAGGACATTACCAAAAGCTGATTCACAGTAGGACAAAACCTCTGTTTAACAACATGTAGTAGTACAACTTACCATCCCATGGTGAAATGAGTAACGAGCACAACAGCGCTTTCGTCCCTACTGGACTGCTTCATCTGCACGCAAACGATCTTCATGTCGATGCCGGTGGAATTGGTGATGCGCAACGTGGAGTTCTTGTGATGGAAACTGTAGGTGGACGAGTAGTCGAGGCTGTGCCACCGATTGGAGCCGGCTATCCAGTAGGGAAAGCGGCACCGGTTGAGCGGCGGCGCCCTCTTCAGCGTCATCGTCCTGCTGCCCTCGATGGCGCTGAACAGGCCGTTGCAGGTGGCGTCGCCGCTCTGGGCCACCCGGTACTCCACCGGATCGGCGGTCTCGGACGAGGGCGAGGCCTTTTCGTACACGAAGCACCGGTAGCGGTCCTCGTTGGAGGTGACGTGGCTGTGGTAGATCTTGCCCACCAGGTAGCGCGAGCTGCCTTCTTTCCACAGCGCCAGGCATTGCAGTTCCTCGACTATCCAAAGAGAAAATAAATACTTCATTCTTCAAGGAGTTCGGGAGTACTCACTGGCGCTTTCGGAGCCGTGGACGTCCGGACAGGCTTGGTAGCTCAGGAGGAGTTTGCTGTCCTCGATGCAGGTGTCTATGCTGGACACTGGGTACCTGCATTCGCCGTGGCCGCGGTTGTAGGTGAATGTGAAGGGTCCTTTGAAAGGGCAAGGGATTGGGACGGCGTTTTCTCTGAACATCGAGTACAGGAGAGCATCGCCGGTGATCAGACCGCAGAGGGACGGCAGCAATTCCCTGCTGTGGCAATAAGCTGCAAGAAATATACATCGATTTTATTGTGAGTATAAGAAGGTTTTTGAACTTACTTTCTTTATATTGTAGAACGTTTAGATGCTTCTCGTGAATGACTACGCATCTGTAACACGCTTTCTTACTGGAACAAAACACAGAGGAAGTCTCAGAAATAGCGCTTGAAAGGAGAAATTTCAATATATGATTTTATTATCAATAGCTTTACACAGCACGCCCTTTATTAGATACCATCGTAATGGATAGTTTAATTTATTTCGAGCTAATCTGTTGTCGAACAGTTGGTTGAGTTTTGAATAGCCAACGAAATATAATTAAATTCAACTAGTTGGATATCTACATGTTTGTATTAAATCGAATTGCAGATGGAATAAATATGAAATTATATTCCTCTAATTGGATACTCCTGTGATCGGTAAAATTTAGTAAATTATTTCACTCCATCAAAACTCCTTTATGATGCGAATTGGTTAATCCAATTTTCCAGGCCCGATAACACAAACAAGCTCCGTTTCGATTAATAATTTCACAATTCGGTTTACATTTCTATTATCTAAATTATCTAATCAATAACAGCCATATTAATACATAATCGCCCACAAAGCGAACAGGATACATCGCGATACTCACTCATCTAAAAGTAGAAACTTGTCCCCTTCTGATCCCACGCACCTTCCTTTGCTGCTCAGTCTTGGTCCTTCTATTAGAATCGATTGCCTGACGCCGGACTGGAACCACGATCCCTCCCAGCGCTCGGGGAAGTAGCAAGTCCCTGAAGAAGCCCGAAGGATCAGAAACGTTGCCGGAATATTCGGTTAGAAAAATTACCTGTCTGCTTGAAGGTCGACGTGAACTCCAAAACGAACAACAACAAAACGAAGCGAATAAAAATGGATGTCCATGGTACGTCCATACTGATGGGCCGGTGTCGGTTACATTGTAGGAACCCTTTCCTGCAACAAAAAACGATTCGTTGTTTATATCAAATCGATTAATGGTGTGGAGATGTTGCTTGGAAGCGACTTGAGCTCATCTTTAGGTGCTCGAAAATTAGAGATGTGAGCTCGTTTAGCGACCGAAGGAAACGGAAAAAAACAACTTTATTTCTAATTCCTCGACCCGATGCTTTAACGGGAAAGAACCGGCCATCGAGGACTCGAAATGGCCGGAAAACTATCGGCGTTGGGTAAGTTTTTTCCTCGCTAACTGTCGCGTTAAAGGAAACGACGGCGTTTTCTCGCGGGCCGAGTGGGTGATTTCATTTGCAGTAAAAACGTATGTTTAGTTATTTTTCGTTCGTTTTGCAGCGGAGACAAAGGCCCGCGATTTACCGGCGTTCGGTTTTAATTAAAGCGGGAATATTTGCTGGGATATTGCTCAATTTCTAGCGAGGAATTTCGCTGGTTGTTTGATGTTAATAGCTGCATTCAAATCGATCACTTTTTTCTTATACCTAAGTCAAGAGAATGCTGAAGTTTTGTGATATAATAAGCTTCGTGAATTCGCCTTGTATATGTTTGAAAAATAGGAATTTTCTGGTTGAATGGAGCTATTTAAGGTATGATATTGCTCAATTTCTAGCGAGGAATTTCGCTGGTTGTTTGATGTTAATAGCTGCATCCCAATCAATTTTTTTTTCTTAAACGAATGCTGAAGTTTTGCGATATAACAAGCTTCCTGAATTCGCCTTGTATATGTTTGAAAAATAGGAATTTTCTGGTTGAATGGAGCTATTTAAGGCATGTTCGGTGATTGATTAATCGTGTCATTAAGCACCAAAATGGCTCGATTTGATTTAACGTTGCGTGCTGGCCTTATCGCTGATCGCCGAAAAAAAAATCATGGCAAAATAACAATGTTGTTTAGTTGCTTACACGACTGCATTGCTTTATTTGCTGGAAACTTCATTATTCCCGGTCCCATTAGCTGATTTATGCCGCGAGGAAATTTAAGGTTTCCGAGGTGATTAGGGATTCGTATCTGAATTATTAATTTTCCTTGCTGTTTCAATCTAAAGAATGATTTTATTTGTGGTGCACAATAAGTATTACGTTAAAGGAGCAATTAGGTTTCCGGCAACAAGGAGGAAATTTCTTTCTTTCTATAAAATAAGGGTTTATTTATGAAGAAGCTTTGCGAAATTTTTCGAAAAGTATGATTAAATTTTGCACGAAGAAGATTGAGTCTCAATTTTAACAAAAGGAAAACTACAGGAAATATGGTGGAAACTGTAATGAGCAAGAAATTAACATATTTTCAAATTCCCAACATAATTCTTATTTTCATATGAAGTGTTTTTCTTAAAATGGAACCCAGATACACCCCCTACAGTCTTAGCATGTTATTAAAAAACACCCTGTAGATACAAAATAAATTTTTGCTTTTCAAAGTTTATTAATTTTCCCATTTGTTTCAATCTAAAGAAGGATTTTAGTGCACAATAAGTATTACGTTAAAGGAGCAATTAGGTTTCTGGCAACAAGGAAGAAATTTCTTTCTTTCTATAAAATAAGGGTTTATTTATGAAGAAGCATTGCGAAATTTTTCGAAAAGTATGATTAAATTTTATACTAACTACAGGAAATATGGTGAAAACTGTAATCAGCAAGAAATTAACATATTTTCAAATTCCCAACATAATTCATATTTTCATATGAAGTGTTTTTCTTAAAATGGGCCCAAGAATCACCCCCTACAGTCTTAGCATGTTATTAATAAACATGCCTGAATATACAAAATAAATTATTGCTTTCCAAAATGCCATCAATAAACCGACTAAGACAATTTCCTCGGTACAAACCGATGCACGATAAATCAAACATTAGTTGACTAACTCTCTCATATATTATTAAATTTCATCCATTAAAATCCCGACGAGCATTTCATTAATCACCCGTCAACGTATAACCACTCTAATTCGATAAAAACCACCCGATTAATTGATATTTTGTATATATTTAGTACATCTACGAGCGGGCTGTCGCCGCTCCCGGGTCCAAAAATCCCGCCGCCTCCAATCCGTCCCCCGTAATGACCCCTTTGTGACAACGATAACCTGGAAATTCCTTTGACAACAATAGGCCTGCTCGCATTTAAATTTTAAATTGGCCGGAGGTATCTCGTTCGGATGGGAAGAAAAATAACCTGATTAGAAGGAGGGGCCGGCGCGAGAGGGAAATGTAGATTATGTTTTTAATAATAAAAATGGTCTCGGAGTCGAGCCGGTCGCTTATTTTTTCATACAGTCGCTTTGAAACGGGGGATAGACGGGGCTTCTTTTTATTTTTTATTTTCCAACGAGCGGCGCGTTGAATGGTGAAAGAGTTCGAGGTTAATTAAAGGCGATTAATGATTTAGGAACTAAGCGAAACGCGATTTAAATAAATAAAACACCAACGAGATTACTGTTAAATTATGAGGACTATTTGTGTTGTTTTTTTTTAATTATTCAATGCACTAAAAGCAACTACAGGGTGAATGTGCGAAGTGGTTCGTTCGAAATTGTTATACAACCCACTAATTTTATGTTTCCCAATGCACAACAATTAATGGAAAACCTACGAAATATGCAATTAATAATTTCGATGAGAGCTACAAACCGGTCTCTTTTGTAACGCCGAATATAATGGACCCCCTTCGAAGTAATATCGATCCCGTTAAGGGGGCGAAGCCGCCCTCGAAGTTCACCCTCGTTTAGTTGAAAGTCACGCGAAAAGGAAAGTTTGTACATTCTTTTGGATAAAAAAAAATCGGTAAAACGGATTAAGAGGCAACGTCGCCTATCAATTAAAAAAATGATAATTAAATCCGGAGACGAGAAGGGGTTATTGAAATGAAGTTCGACAAGATGGAGTTTTTTTCGTAATTAATAAGACTTTTTAATTGGGATAACATTAGAGGAACTTAGGAAAAAGGGTTGTTTGATGTTTAAAGAATACAACACCTTTTATCTACTCGCTTTAATGGAAGATTCATCGGTGTATTTTTGGAATTGTTTATTAAACTAGAGCTCGAAAAAGAGTCAACGTTAGTTATTCGAATCAACGTTTAATCCCTCGTACACACAGTGATCGATTAGCTAAATGTTTGAACAATTTTATTAGCAATCCAAACATACTTACGGCCTGGACAATAAATATCCACAAATCGATAAACAACGTGTTAAAGCGAACGAAACTGCCGATCGCTATAATAGTACATAAACGAAACGAGCGCACTTAATCTTGACATAATCATCCTATCGATTATTTTATCGTTTTTTCCGCCCGTCAGAATTAGGCAAAACGGACGTTAAGTGGAGGAAAGAGGAAGGACTTTTGTTTACCTTTCGGTTTAGAAATGTTTCCGGACCAGTTTGGGCTTAACGCAAACGGCGCTAATGCAGCGTTATTTACCTAAGCTTTAGTTTAAGTACAGATTGCAAAGTTTGGAACTACTTTTTTTCTAAAATGGTGTAAAATTAACTCAATGTACTTTCAGTCGTTCTTAGTATGTATATCAATAGGACAATTGAAATTCCCCCTGCTATATTAAAGATACATCAGCTTAATGTGAATGTTTTGCCCTAATTCTTATTGATCTTCAAGAATTGTTGTAATTTTCCTGAAATTTGCACTGCGACATTTACCTTGTATCTATCCAATCAATTAGTTTAGTACAGATTGCAAAGTTTGGAACATTATGAAGTAACAACCATATCTTCTTCTAAAAATGCTGTAAGATTAACTTAATGTACTTTTAGTCGTTCTTAATATATCAATAGGACAATTGACAGGCTGATAATAAGCAGTTTTAACATTCCTTCCAAGCTTCTGAAGCTTTTATGAAGCACATAACTTGAAGGTACATCAGCTTTAATTCTTAAGAATTGTTGTAATTTTCCAGAAATTTGCATTGCAACATTCACCTTGTATCTATCCAATCAATAGCTAGGTTTATACCAATTTAATCATTCTGGATTTCGCCCCTAATTACATCCCCCGCCCTCTAATAAGTTTCCTTAAGTGCACGACGACAGTTCTAATTGAATCCGGTCGGAATATACAGGGCTGAAATGACGGCTAAATAAATAACTAATCGAAAACTATTGCCCACCTTCGTCAATCGTTCGGGACCCCCTCGAATCCCATCCAAGCCCCTGTTTATTCGGCAAACGTCGAAACAAACGGGGCGTTTAATCCCGTCTGAAATAATTATTTCGTCGGAGCGAAAAAGCCGTCGGACTGTTAAATAATTATTTTTTTGTGTATCGGCGTCGCGACGCGACGGACGCGCCCCCTTGATTGTCGTTTTTCGAGGAATTATAATTAGGAGAAGACGGTGAATTCGAAAAATAAACGTTAGGGGGCCGACGATCCGGGCTGGGAAGGATCTAATGAAGCGGGGGTGGAGTTTTAAGTTAGTTATCTCGTCTTGCGTTTCCCGAATTATCCGATTTTTGATTCGATTGTATTGTACTCTGTTTTGTTAACTGTATAGCGATGTTTTGATAGCGCTCAATAGGAATTTACAGGGTGGCCCAGAACTCACGGTACGTCGGGAAATGCCTTATAGAAACGACAATGGAGATGCCAAAACTGCAGTCGAAGGCAGGAAAAAGTTTTTCTTTTGGTAAATAAAGAGGTTCAAAATCGACTAAACCCAGTAGGAATTTAAATCCACGAAAATGAGGTGAATTAGCTATACACCAGTTGGACATTATTGAAAGATTCTATTTGCTTTACACTTTCAAGGTTAACAAAAGTTGCCAAAATTAGCTGTGATTATTGATAAAAAATTTGCTTCCAAATCGATCATTCAGGAGCTTCGTTTTGCTGATATCAAACCTACAAATTTTTTTATCGCTTCAAAAGTGGTTCGAATCGAATGATCCATTTTTTTGTAGAGGTAGGAGCAAAAATTCCTCTTAAATACGAGAGAATACATTTAATTTCGCATATTTGAAAATTTGCTG